CCCATAGCTGACACAGAAGATATGCACCCATATCACAAAAACTCAGCTAAAGTTAGGTAGCATTACAACTGAAAGATGAGGGGAAGGATATTTCTTAGCACATAGCTGCTTGGTCAGGGGTCCTCAAACTACGGTCTGCGGGCCAGATCCAGTCCACCAGGGACCTGAACCCGGCCCACCCGCAAGGCCCGAGGCTCGGAAGCAGCTGGGCGGGAAGAGCCCTGAGGTAAAAGTGTGTGCGTGTAACAAAGCCCTGGTAACAGGGTTGCTACCACCGACGCCGGCTGCTTGATAATGGCACGCTGCCCCTTGAAGCCGCTGGAGGGTGGGACGGCGGCAAAGGAACCCCTTCCACACCAGCCCTTCCCCTCCTCCCTTCCCCTCAGACCAGCTCTGTTCTCGCCAGAGCAGCACCTCGCCGGCCAGTTGCCTCCTTAACACGCGCATGGGTCCCATGCAGCAGCCCTGGCAACCTTAAAAGTTAGGGAAGCACCAAAAACACAGGCAACATATGCAAATAGAATTAGCAAGAAGAGAAGTCTGAATCACAACAGATTTTTGTACAAGGGAATCTCTGTGTAAATAGTGGGTTAATTTTTAAAACAAAGCTCTCTACCCAAACTTCCCCAAGTTTGAAAATAAACTTCAATGCAGAGAAAGTCATATGCATGAGGAACAACAACATCAAAAATAACCAAAAGGAAAGGAAGTATAAAGGTGAGGTATAGGTAATTTATATTATTACTGATAGCACCTGTTGTGTGTCTGTTTGGGCTATTATTTTGAAACAGTGTTTTTTGTTGTTGTTTTTCTTTAAAGAATACAGTACATGAAAAAGAGCATGTTTCTGGCACCTCTTTAGTCCAGCCCGCAACAGTGTCTGAGGGACAGTGAACTGGCCCCGTTTAAAAAGTTTGAGGACCCCTGGGCTATGTGATTTGTTCTTTGAACAAGCTCCTACATTATTATATAGACACATTTCCAAGTGTGACTAAGGTTGTGCCAGCTTGCTATTGCCAGCCTACTGATGTGGGATGACACCTTTGTGGGCTTAAATTTAAGTGTTGCCCTGTGTGACGCCAAAATTCAGCACCCCCTTGCCTTCTATTTTACATCATCATTGCGGCGCCTCTAAAGGCTCTGTGCCCAGTGCAATTGGCCATGTCCCCCTAAATCTGCCTCTGCTCCCTGCCTTTAAAAGGCTGCCTTTTAAAGACTGCTACAGACACTTGCAAATCTGTGATCACTCACTCTTCTTTTGATTTGCCAAGGACAAGTGTTAAGTCTTAGTGTCTTTTGTCACAGGACTGTGAAACAGACCAGGAGAAAATAGCCACAGCTAGGATAATGGAACAAGTTGCCACAGGGAATTTTCACAATGTCAAAACTAGCAAGGACTTTAGCATGTATCTCTCCTGGCTCCTACCAGCAAGAGGGATGCTTTTATTAGGTTGCTCTGGGGGTATATTGTTAGATAGTATGGAGCTAAGCTAGGATGCAGATGAACATGCAAACTTTTCATAAAGAGGATCAATTAACTGATTTGTTTCATGTTCAGAGTTAACTACTTACCATATCCGAGACTGGGAAAGTAATCCTCTCCCAAATCAGATTAAAAATTGGTATTTGAGAGGAATAGAATTGAATCTCCCTACAATACGGAGCATGATTCTTTTATTTGGCATGTATCTACTGTTCATAAAATATTCTTTACTTTTTGCAATTTATGACATGTAGCACCTTTTTGTCTGTGTTTTGAACACACTAAACGCAGACGAGATTCTTTACAGGCGCACATTCTTTTAGGTTATAGAAGAGGATCTCTGTGACCAAAGTGGGTCCAATAAATTGAAATTATAGGTTTTAAATTTAATGTGTATTTGGCACCATGTAAGGGTAGCCAGTTGTGTAATCTCCAAACTACAGATGTGGAGTTGACACTTAGCAGTGAGTTTATAGTTGAGCTGAAATTTGAATTGGGGACATCCAGCCCCATAGCTTGTACTCTGAACCACTATGTCAGAGGTATCTTCCAGATGTTATATCCGCCCCAGCCAACATGGGCAATGATCAGAGGTGATGGAAGCTGCAGTCTGGAACATTCAGATGGTACCACATTAGCTATACCTTCGGCTATACCATTTCTTGTTTATTTTTCGAGACTGTATCATATATAGTGTCTGCCGGGAAAAGAGCTTGAGAATATCAGATTTAGCCCACAAATGGAAAAAGTGGGGTGTGCTTAAAACAAACACATACAAAAAGCTTCACTAAATAGGTGAGAAGAAATTGTGTTGTTAATCCAATCCAACTAAATACTTGCTTGGGGAAGAAAGATATCTTTAGATATATATGTGCAGACAGGAAGGAAGGAATAGATAAATTGTTTAAAATTGTGTGTCAGTCACATGGAGATCAAATAAATTTGCCATATAAAAACAGATCATATGGTTATCTCATGTTGACCTGAGCACTTAAAAGAGAGATTCCTGCATGTGGAACTTCCATGCACTCAAGATAAATGCAAAAGCTAAATTTTGTTCAGAAGCTTCTAACTGCTTTTTAAATATTTTTGGTTTTGTGTTTCATAACTACTTTATATAGTATGTATTTGCTTTAAACCAAATAGATGGCTCATGTTAACTACATGTTGCAACATATACCAGCTGCCCATAAGAACCCTAACGGCAGTGTCTCTTAAACAAGAACAGCTATGGCCCCTAAGAAGTTTATTGTAGCACAAGTCTTCCCAGCCACAGAACTAGACTCTACAGTTAGAGCCTTTCAGGACAACAGTTTTATTGCGTGAGGAATGTACAGTCCTTATTCAGCTGTTGAGGGAAATCCAAATATTCTCCAAGTTGGTGCTTCCATTGCAGGAGAGTGAAAATCTGAAGCAGTTCTTTGGCTAATTATTTCATTGCAGCAATAATATATTCTAATTAATTTGTTGATAGGAGACTGCAGCGTGTTCCACAGTTATTATATATCCAGGTTTGTCTGTTTTCAAGTTAAGCAGAATATATGTGTGTGTGCGCGCGCCTTTTTTTCTAGAAAAATAGGTGCAGGTACTCATCATTAAATTGACTACACCTTGAAAGAAAGGGTTGGAGGATTGTAAAATATAGAAAACATGCAAAATTGAGCTAAAGAGCACGTGATCGCAATAACACTTTTTTTTTTTAAAAAAAAGATATTTATTAAGATTTTCAAAATATTACAAAATGAAAAAAGAAAAATACAAAATAAAAATAGTTAAAAACAATTCGATCTTTCCGTTACTTATCTTTCATTTGCTTGTTTCCCGGACCTCCTCACACCTCCCTTTTTTGTATTCCAATTCGTTAGTTCAGCAAATCCTTTCCCTCTTTGTTTATCTAGTCTTTAATCTTAAAATATTATAACATTAAATTTTTACCTATTAATAATCCATTTTTTCATATTCCTTTATAGCATTACAGCTAAAAACCACTTAACTTCTTATCCAACATCATTCTAGCATTCATTAATTTTGCAGTATTTCTGTAAGTAATCTTTAAACTTTTTCCAGTCTTCTTCCACCGACTCTTCTCCCTGGTCTCGGATTCTGCCAGTCATTTCCGCCAGTTCCATATAGTCCATCACCTTCATCTGCCATTCTTCCAGGGTGGGTAGATCTTGTGTCTTCCAATACTTTGCAATAAGTATTCTTGCTGCTGTTGTGGCGTACAAAAAGAAAGTTCTGTCCTTCTTTGGCACCAATTGGCCGACCATGCCCAGGAGAAAGGCCTCTGGTTTCTTCAGGAAGGTATATTTAAATACCTTTTTCATTTCATTATATATCATCTCCCAGAAAGCCTTAATCCTTGGGCACGTCCACCAAAGGTGAAAGAATGTACCTTCACATTCTTTACATTTCCAACATTTATTATCGGGCAGGTGATAAATTTTTGCAAGCTTGGAGTCATGTACCACCTATAGATCATTTTCATTAAATTCTCAATAACACTTTTAAGAAATGTCAATCTATACAATACTAGGCCGTGAACCGCCACTCACAAGGAAGCCCCTGTTGGAAATTCCCATTCCACCTTTAGTTAGACATGGAACTGTTAGACATGGAACTGTTTACATTCCAGCACAGTCTGTTGGGAACTTCCCTTTGTGTATAGCTTTTGCTTTTTCACTGTCTCTCTGAGAAGGGAGAGGTGTTTTCTTGGTCCTGATTTATGCTTAATAAATCTTTAGCTGTTAGTATGTTTCTACAAGCCTCACGCTTGTTCTGTTTGCACAGTATGCTCTGCTAATATAGCTTTTGAAGTCTGAGTCGCTGATTTAGGTGATTTGGGGGAGGGGGAATCCTCACGGCTGGAAGGGCATGATCCAGCTGGGGGCCAGCCAGCTGGCATCTCGACCCCTGAAGGATGCCGACAGCCCCAAAGCCCATTTCCACGCTCAGGGAACCTCGCCTGAGCAGAAACTGTTTTTGAGCGCGTGTGAAGGGCGCCCTTCCATCACCTTGGAGTCAATTACAGTACCACTAACTTGGAGGATGTTCTCCCCTCCCCGGTGGGGAACGACCTGGCCCCCCTTCCCCACGCCTTGCATTTCAGCATTCCCACAAGCTTCACTCTAACGCCACCCGCCCAACCGAGGGGGCTCCTGGGCAGAGTCCACGAAGGCCTTTGGCCACAACGCGCCCCTTCGCTTCCAAGTACCCCGAGAACTCTTTGTTGCTCTGTTTGTGTTTGCGCGCGCGCGTTTCCCCCCTTCCCGCCTTCGCCCCGCGAAGCAACGAAGGAGGGCGCCTCAACTCCGGGAGGTGGGCGGGGAGGTGGGGTAAGCGGCCAGACGGGCTCCGCCGGGGGACTTTCGGCTGCCGGAGGCGGGGAAGGGGCGGCTGCAGCGGACCCGGAAGTGGTTGCGCCCATCGGGGGCGGTGGGAGCGCGCCGTGCGGGTTGGTGGGTGGGGGAAGGAGAGGAAGAGGAGGGGGCGGCGGCGGCCGGACGGATCCGCACGGGGACGGCGCGCGAGCCGGGAGGAGGCGCGAAGGAGGCGGCAAGGCGAGAGCAGCGCGGCTCGGGATGCATTCGGACTGCCGGCTGCTGCGCCCGAGAAGCGGGGTATGGTGAGCGGCCCGGAGCGCCCGCTCCCCCGGGGGACCCGGCCGGCGCTGGCCTCCCTCCTTCTCCTCCTGTTGCTGCTCAGGCGGGACGCGGCGGCGCAGAAAGGTGCGTGCGGGAGCCCCGTCGGGAGGGGAGGGACCAGAGGAGCAGCCTTCCCGCCTTTCTTGCTTGGCGCCCACCCAAAAGCCCGCCGGGGGGGGGAGAGCGTCACCCTTCCTGCCCCTCACTCTCTCAGGTGCCGTCGCGGGCATTGGAGAGGGAGGGGGCGTCTAGGTGGCCACGGGGCACCCCGCTTTTCCACGTCAGCGGGCTTCCTTCGCCGCCTCCCTACCCTCAGGGGACTCTGCCCCCCGACAGCGTTCTTGGAAGCTCCCCTCCGAAGCCCGTCGAGGAGAAAAAGGCAGGGCTGCTGGTTGACCTTTTTAACAAGTGCTTAAAGGTGCATGAGAGCGAAAGGACCCCCAGGCCCCTGCAAATGGGTCTTTCGTGTTCGTGCAGCTGCTTCTCAGCGGCCTGCACTCCTGGCTTCCAACTTTGCCAAAGGTGCATGCCGCCCCACGCGTGTAACCCACGCCACGCACGAGGGGTTGGGGGGCAGCGATGATAAAAAAAGCTTCCCACCGACGCCACATGTGTGCGTGCAAAGTGCTTTGCATCCATATGTTGCATGGTGCTGATATCTTCGTGCTGATATCTTCACCGAAATGAAAGACTGATGTTTGAAATGTGATGATATCTGGTCTTTCCCCCGCGCTGGAACCAGCTTTCAGTTGTGTTGACTTGAGTGCTTCTCAGAGTATCCAGATAGCATTTCCATTGCTAATCTCCATAGGCCCCATTGGGGAGGGGGCAAGCCAAATAAGATATAAATTCCAAGAAGGCTCAAGACCCAGCCCTTCTCTTTTCAGAAAGTAAAAGGGAATAGCCTGAGGAATTTTAAGGAGTGATACTTGAAATAACTCCCATTTTCCTCCAGCTTGACATTTTGAGATTATTAAGTAACATAATGAAGAATAGGCAGTGTCTAAGAATGATTTAAAGCTGGTTTTTAATGTGTGGTGTCACTTTTGTAAAGCTTTCAGTAAAAAGGAGAGTGCAGGCATAGATTAACTAAAGATGATGAGTTTGGGATAGGAAATCCCTGTGTGCGCACCGCTCTTTAGTTTTCTCTTTCAGTTGCATCTGACTGCATTTATTGTTATTTACAGGACACAAATGAGAAAAGAGAGAATGAAAGCTGAAACCTTGTTACAAAACTACCATATAATGTGCTAGATGAGGCATTACATTATATGGATATTGTAGGATTGTCATTTGAATGAGTTCTTATTTTAGAATAAAAGGACGAAAGTTGGTCAGTTCATGAAGCTTCAAGCATTGTAGACTGCAAAACTAGTTAACAGAATTGGTGTTAATTCATCTCCCCAGTAGCGCTTGTGGGTTGTGGTGGTGGGAGTTCCTATTAGCATACTATTCTCTCTGAGAGAATACATTTGGAGAAAAGTACTCTACACCTTTCCCTTTCTGACTGGGAAGTCTTAAAGAAATGTTTATATGCTCCATTCAAGTCAAAAAAACCCACAAAATGATCATGAATTCTGTTGTGGTAAACATTGGCTCTGGTGTAGCCTATAGCACCCAAGGACAACTCCTAGGGTAGTTCTTCCCGTAAGCAAATACATACTGTCCTGTTGTGCGATTTGCACAATTTGCTTATGTGCAACGAATTAAATGTGCATACGGGTACTTACTTATTTATTTAAGGGTTTTTTCCTGAAATAATTTCTGATCACTTACTTTTCCCACTCCCTGAAAAAGGTAGCCATCTTGTAGAATGTTCTTGGAATATTCTCAACCATTTTTTGTGGTTGCCACCATTCTTCTTTCTGCCTAACAGTGTCCTGGAATGATGCTAGCTTGGGGGCATTATGGGAGCTGCAAAATGGTGGTCAGGCATTCGATACAGTTGTTGATAGTGGGAGGCCGCACCTCCAAGAAACAGAAAAATAACCCTTGAGAATATTCAGAGAAAGGTAATCTTAATTTCTCCACCTGCAAGTAGGATGGAGAATTTTGAGAGGCCATTTTTGCCCAGCTCTGCTTTTCAGCCAATAATGTTTACAATGGAACTCTACAGAGTGGCTGGGGAAACCCAGCCAGATGGGCGGGGTACAAATAATAAATTATTATTATTATTATTATTATTATTATTATTATTATTATTATTATTCATAAACTTTATTTTAGTTTTTATTTTGTAATGCAACATTTCTATCCAACAATAACATTTGGGACTTTTTTGTTTTGCTTATAATGTGCAATATGTAATGGGCTTCATACTTAAAAAATAAATAAATTCAGTGACTTGTTCTTGCTGCATTACACAATGACAAATATTTGAGTTTTCCCATGGAAGTGGATTGTGATTGGGACATATGTTTTCTTTCCCCCACTATATCCAATTAAGTTTCTGAACCTTTTAATGCTTAAAACAAAAATGAGCCCCAAAAGGATCTCTTCAAGTTGGGAGAACTGGTAATAAAATAGCAAATTACTTAAGAAGTGTAAGGAGAAGTACACTGAGACAATTTTCTTCCTAATTTCACATATAAGTGAATGGGTTGTGAAATGGTGATGCTGGATTAGGAGTGAGACCTTGGGTACGTAGTGGATAGCTCAAGTGATGATGTCTAGTCACTGTGTGGCAGCTGTGGAAAAGACAAATTCCAGGGAATATTAGGACAGGTTGGAAACAAAATTGCCAGTACAGTGGTACCTTGGTTCTCAAACGCTTTGGAACCTTGATTGATTGTGTGACTGTAGTACATTGTTTATTGCTTTCATTTTATGGATCAATGGTCTTGTTAGATAGTAAATTCATGTTAAATTGCTGTTTTAGGGGTTGTTTTTAAAAGTCTGGAGCGGATTAATCCATGTTGCATTACTCTCTATGGGAAAGTGTGCCTTGGTTTTGGAACGCTTTGGTTTTGGAACTGACTTCCAGAACGGATTAAGTTTGAGAACCAAGGTACCACTGTATCATAGTGCCGTGATATGGTGTGACAGCACTTTAAATACTGTGTATGGTTTTGGTCACCGCAAAAAGGATAAAATCCATGATGGCTATGCTCTATCTCCAATAAGGTGCCATGCCACGTGTTATACCAGTTACTTGGAACTGCAAGTGGGAAGAATGCTGTTGCATTCGGTTCCTACTTGCAGATTTTCTATGGGCACCTGGATGCTGGACTTAGATCACCTTTTGGGCTTTTCTTATGTTCTTCTGAATATACTCAGGTCTGCTACCTTTCCCCAATATTTCACCACAAGAGCACAGCTTTACTTGACATTTTTTTTGTAGGTATAAGATTTATTTTTTTAACTCCCATAAAGTTTTAATAGAGCATTTCCAGATCTAGTCTGATTCCATTTTTCAAAAACATCCTTTTTTTTAAAAAAAAAAAAGGTAATACAGATTCAGATTTGTTTCTGTTTATAATCACTTATTTAAATATGCTGGAAGCTTCCCTGAAGTGCATTCACAGACCATCATTGGTCCAACCCTATATTAACTCCAGGAACGTTCCAGTTTTTGTTGATGCAGAAGCTTTATGGGAAACTGCAAAATCTGTGCTCCATCCTTAGATATTGGTTAGAAGATCGTCTGAAAAAATAATAACCCACTTCATGCATTTTTCTTCCGTCAATAGTAGTCTGGTTTGAACCCTTATGTAAGTTTGGTGAGCAGAGGATGCAAGCGTTCCACGGATCTCAAGCCAAGATCAGCCATCGTAAAACCAGATGGGTCTTGGCCATCCGTATTGCTCTTCAAAATATCCAGCAGCTATTGCTGCACTTGCATATCTTGGGGCGCCTCTTAATTCATGCCAGCTGATATGACAGATGGCTACCAGATATTGTTTTAAACTTCAAACTGAACTTCTGAACTATCGCCAGGGACAGGCCGAAATGCCTTTGGCAGGAAGGTGAAGCAGCTCTACATTGTGGGTGCATTCACTGGGGTGGTTTTCACCATGGTTTGCTATGTAGATATGCCTCAGTGAACTTGAGGAATACACCAGGCTGCACCCCCCCTTTCCCTCGCCTGCCCAGTTGGGCTATGGGTTCCTGCAGTGCTTCCATTGGTGCTCACTGGAAGAGTTTCAAAGCACTTTGCCTTAGTTTTACATGCAGGCAAAGAATCCTGGTTGTAATAAAAGGCAAATGGTTAATTGCTAAGCAAGTCAACTTCAAACCATGGATTTTACAAAGCTAGCTTGTATAACCGTCGTCTGCACCCTACATTGGGCAGTATTCCTCTGCCAGCTTGTCCCCTCCGAAATTGAAAATTATATAGAGTATCTGTCAAGTGTCAACAGTGAGATTTAAATCTTATTTTGCTAAAACTTTGATGTGTCTGGTTCAATATTTAAAGGGGTACGCAAGTAATGAACGACAAGAAACATGATTCTGGTGACTAGCAGGGAAAGCCTCTAGCTTACCCTGCCACAGAAGTAGCACATTCTTAAAAACCAGCCAGCAATAAAGCAATAAATTATTCGTTTTATTATTACCCACCTTACACTAGCAGATCGCCAGGGGCATTATAACAATTTAAAATTGAGAAATTAAAAATAGTTAAAACAAATTGCAATCACAGGAATATGCATTTTTCAGAATGCTGCTCAGGAGACCTAATATGGCACCAAAGCTAATATGGTACCAATCCAGTATGGTTTTAATAAATGGTTGAGTGTGTCCTAAGTTATGAGAAAAGCCTTCTGCTCCTTAGAATTTGATTGTCCTCAAGGAGTTTCAGAAACAGGAACTGATAATTTAATGTGTCATGAACCATAGGCTAAAACACACAAGATGCATAGTAAATTTACAGTACTGTACACAGTAAATAAGCAAAACTATTGCCAGTGTTCAAAATATGGCCACGTGTATTACCCTAGCAACAAAAAAATATTTTGTGAAAGGGTTTCTAATGCTTTGCCACCATTGCCATGCAGCAAATAACTTTTGTCTTACAATCTTCTGGTCTGTTGTCTTCATTGGTTACACTAAGAGAAGAAGCTTTTTCTCCCACCTGTGTGTGGGAGTATTGGGAAGAAATACCATCTGCATGCTTGCTCATGGTGTGTTTCTAGTTGTTAGGATCCATATAACAGGCGCCTTGTTTTCAGGGATTGCATTGAGAGCACCTTTTCCTTATTTGGTAATGAGCACAAAGGGGATTTCAACTTTGAGTCACAGTGCAACTCAGTTCACTCTCAGTCAGCAAGGTATCCTCAGTGGGAACTTAAAGAATTTGAGTTTTCATTGCTATGTGGGGAAAAACACAAGTGAGTGTGCATGAGAACTGTGGTACTCTGCAGTTTAAAACCGGCCAATAAATAACAGAAAAGTTTCATGATATTAGCAAATCTTGAAATCTTGGGAGAGTATTTTGCATCTTGCTGGAAGCTTGCTAGTTAAGAGCTCGCCATCTCTGTGGCTGAATGTATCTCCTAAAGACAGTGAGGTTTCTTTTCTGTAACTATGAATCAAGAGTGTAACTCACCTGGTCCAGCGTTCTCTTCTCATAGGGGCCAATTACCGTATTTTTCGCCCTATAGGGCGCACCGGCCCATAGGACACACCTGGTTTTTTGGGGGGGATAAATAAAAAAAAATATTCCCCCCCCCCAGGCGCGGAGCTCCCACCGGTCTCCCCAGGCTTGCGGATTGTGCCCGAAGCCTGCAGCGTGCTGCTCAGCGCGCCCCAGGCTTTGCGATGCAGGCTGCTATCCGCAAGCCTAGGGAGCCCGGCGGGAACTCCCGCGGGCTCCCAAGGCTTGCGGATAGCTTCCTGAAGCCTGGGGAGCGAGAGGGGTCGGTGCGCACCGACCCCTCTCACTCTCCAGGCTTCAGCGAAAGCCTGCATTCGCCCCATAGGACGCACACACATTTCCCCTTCATTTTGGGAGGGGGGAAAGTGCGTCCTATAGGTCGAAAAATATGGTAGATGGCTGTGGGAAGCCTGCAAACAGGGCTTGATTGGAACAGGCTTGTGAGTTGCAGCTTCTGGAATACACAGACATATTGCCTCTGTCAATGGATGTAAAACACGCCATCACGGCTAGTAGGCACTATTAATCTCATCCTCTGTGAATTTGTCCGATCCTCTTATAAAGCCAGCCAAATTGGTTTTTACTACAATAGGTTGGTTGGCATTTAGAGATTTAGGATTGATGTGGAAGCATATGTCCAGCACTGCCTTATAGGGTCATATGTGAAACTTGTTTTTTAGTCTTTGCTAGCATCACTTTAAGGTTATGTTGTGTGATTAAGTGAGCAGTCATTAGTCAAAGGCTAATTACAGACAAGTAATCTTTTTCTATCTAGTGAGCTCTCTGGCATCAAAACGTTAACTTCTTAGATCAAACTATATTGGCATGAAATGCATAAGTTACTAGGAATGCAGACCCTTTTAATGAAATAATTCGTAACAAATCATGTTTCTTTTCTTCTGCCTGTGCTGCTCCCTGCCAGCATGAACAAAAAAACTATGCAGTGAAGCCATCTCAGAATAAATCAATCAATACAAGCATTTGGTTTTTTCCAAGAACGTTAAAGGGAGCCTTTTAAAGCACTGGCTAGCTTTCTTGTGAGAATACTGTCAATGGTATATTATGCTCTGATACTTGATAGATTATTTAGTCATGAGAGTTTAACATTTCCATTGCCACGAAATTGACACAGGGTTCTTTAAGGGTGGCAGATTCAACACTTGCTGATTCATATGTATTACATGACATAAACATCTCAGCAAGCAGTTTGAACTGCAGAGAACTTCCTTTTGACAATTACAGTATATGCCGTATCTTTTACTATGTGAAGTGAATAGTATTTGGGAATAGGAGGATAGAGTATAGATACTAATTGAATATGGAACTGTAAGTTTTCCACTGTGTTTCTTCAGCCCCACATGCAGAAGCCCAAATGTATGGAGGTTAAAACCAAAGGAACCCCATCTTTTTGGCAGGCAGTGTTCCTGAGCATGTCCCACAGGGTAATGTAAGCACTTTTCCATCCAGTCTTTCCATCTCATAACAGAGGTGTTTGGTAGCCATTCTGAAGCATTCCCCTTGCCAGGTCCTGCTTGAAAGAGGTTGGTTTCAGGGGAAATGGTATAGCACTATGTGCTGGTTAAAGAAAGTCAGCTGCAAAATATGCTCAGATAGCAACAAAACCCCACAAAATAGTCCATTACACAGATTAAATGTTTTCAGCTACCTCTTGAAGCAAAAGAGAAAGAACAGCTTAGCACCTGCCCCCACCCCACCTCCCAAAAAGAATCTGGATGCGGGGAGGAAATCCAAGGGTCATGGCTACAAAATCCTGCCTGGGTCTCTGCCAATCTAAACTCTAAAGAAGAGGAACCCCAAGCAGTACTCCATATAAAAAATCTTGTATGCAGAAAGACATTCCCCCAGCTTTGCTGAGTCCAGGCAATATAAAAGGGTCACCGACGTTCATTGCATTTTTTTAGTGGAGGACTAAAAGGAACGTGACAACCTCTTGTTTCGTAAGGATGCCTTTTATAATCTCTCCCACAACCCACCCTGCCTCCCTCTGCAGGCCCCAACCAGTCAGTTGTCTGATATGTGGTTGTTTAAATTTCCACATTAATTTTGTTGACATTCAAGAGTAAAAGAGTCTGAAAGCGACTCAGGGAAACACAGCAACTGGATTGCCTCTGAGTCACCTCGTTTTGGTTACTGTCCCAACTTAAACACTAAGCAGTTTATGAAACATTTAAACAAACAAATAAAGGCAGGATGGACCTATTTAAAACAAGATATGTCTAGCCAACTGATTACTGCTAGTTGATCTTCTTGAGTGACCATTATTAACCCAACTCTGGATCAGGAAGGTTTCACTGGGTGTTGCTGCCATCTCCGCTATAGGGATAGGCCTTCAAATGGTTTCTTTGTTTTGTTCAATGGGATTCAGCATGGTTTCTCACCCACTTGTAGTTTAACTGACTTACTAACCGCTTCATGGACTAGAAATCCCACCAGACAGCTGCCAGAGGGTGTTTTTGCAGACCCCCATATGCAGCACCAGATTCATTGTGGTGAGTCTTAGAGCCCTTAAGATACCGACAGAGCCCCCTCATTGCCACAGCAGCTGTGAAGTTACCTGAGTATTTATTAATTGCATGCAGAAGTTTATATTAAAGGGGGAGAAGGAATATATATATTATTTAAACTTGGACTTCTGAATTGCCTTTTTTAAAAGAAGAAGAATACTTGTCCTCCTGAGGGTGCTTTTATACCTTGAGGGTAACGCTAGAATACTTGCATATCTGTTTACTAATCTATATTCCCTTGTGTAGAATTTATACATGAAAAATAAGAAGCCTAGAGCCAGTGCAGAAATAAGGCACTGAACTCTGAAATGCTACTATGCAGCACAATTCTATGTATGTCTGCTCTTGCATGGCAAGCTACTGTGTTCAGTGGGGCTTACTCCTGGGTGAATTTGCACAGAGTTGCAGCTTTAACACCGGTACTGAGATGTGGGTTTGAATCCCATTCTTTATTTAAAAGTAGCATATGCATGAGAAAGCCACATTACCAGTCAATCTTTGTTTTTGTAGGTGATGGATGTGGACATACCGTTTTAGGTCCTGAAAGTGGGACTTTTACATCTATTAACTACCCGCACGCCTATCCCAACAGCACTGTGTGTGAATGGGAGATTCGAGTAAAGCCTGAGCAGAGAGTGCAGCTCAAATTTGGGGATTTCGATATTGACGATTCAGATTCTTGCCATTTTAATTACGTGAGAGTTTATAATGGAATTGGACCCACAAGGACAGAAATAGGTAAGAACTTCTTCTTGTTATGTTGTTCGAAACAGGGGGGGAAACTCCTTTATGGTTTGTTTGTTATTTAGTAAAAACATGTCTGAATTATTTGCACGATCCATTCTTCCCAAAACTTGAGAGAAGAAATTTAATTTGATTCTAATGCTTTTTTATGAGTCATAATCAGTATTGGACATTTTCTTACTCTGGGTTTGTTTAAATCAGACATTTAACATTATGGAGGAAAACCTGCAGAGGTGAGCTCTCAAGAGGGAGCTGTGACCAGTCACAGGTGTCCCTGGATAGTTGGGCCCTCCAGATGTTGCTGGAGTACAATTCATATCTTGCTTGGTGGGGCTGATCGAGTCCAATAATATTTGGACAACAACAGGTTTGCCAGCCCTTCTGTAAAGCATGAACGTGGCAGACTTGAGCTTGCAAACACAAGCATCATGACAGCGTGTCTCCAAACATAAGTTTAACCCTACACTTTACATTTTTAGATGTATGTGTAAGATGTTTTCGTGTACAACTAAAAGAGAAGTGTGTGGAGTGGCATTTCAGGGGAGATATGCTCATCATTAATTTCTCGGGGTTAAGGCGTTCAAATGATCAGGAAGAGGATAAAGGAACATAGGAAACAGGAAGTTGCCTTATACTGAGTCAGCTCATTGTTCCATCAAGTTCTAAATCATCACCACTGATTGGCAGCAGCTCTCCACAGCTTCAGATGGGAATCTTTCCAATCCCTATCTAAAAATACCAGGGATTGAACCACATACTCTACAAATGAGCTACGGTGCCCTCACGGTTATAGCTAGAACTTTCAAACAGGAGCTCGAAGGAATATTATAAGGGCAAACCTTTGTTTTCCAACTTCTTTTTTGGTCGAAAGATCCTGGTCTTCTAAATTTAAATGTGCACTGAATAGAGAAATGTCTCCTTTTTAATCGTATCTGGCAATATTTTGTTCTGCACCAAAACACAGCTGTGTCTAAGTGGTGATAAAGTTACCTGGCTTTTGGGAGAGAAAGATGGTGATGGTTGTCTGATTGGGGATTGAGAAGCGCAGACATTATATGCAGGGCAAAGGAAGTCACTCCCCGAACTGCATTTTTGTAAGATTTTAAAACGTATTCTTTCTCTTGTAAATTTGTCAATATGATGGTAAATCTGACATATATGAAGTGGCAGTAATATCCTGTGGTTTTTATTACTTTTGTATCTCTGACTGTGAAACGTTTAATAAACCTTTAGTCTGTGCTGGGAACGTCTTTGTATGCTGCCAAAAAAAGGGAGGGGAGAGTGGAATAAAGACTTAAAATGTCATTGATACCAACAGAGCTGACATTTTCTGGGTTGATTTTTTTATATATATATATAAATCTGTTGCACTGTTTTTCTTCCTTCTAAACCCATGACCTAGATACTTCTTCTGATGGAGTATTTTTAGACAGAAGATTGAATGTGGTTGCACGACATCTGTAACGTGAAGGCTTTTATCAAGCTTGGTGACTCTTCTACTTAGATATTGCATGAAAACTTAGACTTGCTGTGAGCCAAGCTCACTCGTAAAAAGAAAAGAAAACATGAGGTCCTTAAATGGCAAGGAACGTCCAGTCCTGATTAGGGCTTAAACACTTTTACAAGTAGAGTTCACTGGCCCAAATAAATTATCTACTTTTGTTCCCTTTACCTCTCAGCTGTTCCCAGCTAGTGTGGCTTCATAAGAGATTGAGCAGTGTGTGTGTCTTGCTCTGCTGAGAGAGAGCTTTTTGGGGAAAAAATAATGGTAAGGTTAAAACGGGCAGCCATTCACCCCCCCTTTGAACTTCCAGTGTAAGTTTTGCGTATTAGAAATAAGAGTCAGCGGAAGTACGTTGACTGCAGATAATGGGCTGGCGGAGGATTCAAATCTTTAAGCAAAGGTAGATATAGCATATATTGTGGTGTAAGAGCGTCAGCATTTGAATGAAGTATTGAAGCCAACTCTGTTGATGCTGGGAACTTTTTTTAAAAAGGGAAACTCCAGAGTGACTGGTTCTTCAGAACAGCTCCACAATCCATGCCAACCACTTTCACTTTCACAAATAATTTTAACACTACAGTCCTATTAATGCTTAACAGGGAATAAGTCCCATTGAACTCAATGGGTATTCCTTCTGAGTAACAATGCATAGGAAACAATGTAAAATTAATGGTGTACATGTATTTGGCAAAGAGACTGGATAGTAATTATTTGGATACTTGGTAGCATTTGTAGAGATAGTGAAGTGTGCTAAAATTGCTTTGCACCATGCCTTCAGTATTCCTTAATAATTGTGTCCTGGTTTCCTCTCAGAATTGGAGGTTGTAGCCAATGCTGTGTGTGTACGAACAGAACAGACCTGCTTGTGAAGCAGGATTTCACCTTCCTCCCCTTTGCAAGATGATAAGAAAATCTGCTCTAAAGGGCCAGGGAACCTCTTGAGAAAGGCACATAGAAGGTGGAAAGGAAGAAGTCCTACTGTACAAGTAGAATTCATTTCCTTCAGCATCGGATTTCACCCTGATAATTTGTGGTTTTGGAGATTTAGGAGATGGGTTTAGCCTCAAACAAACCCTAGCTTTGGGATTTCTTAATGCCTTGAAACTGTGGGGATGATAAGAAATAGATTCACAAATTTGTTGAGCTGTCAAAGACGTTCTGAATGTGCAAATCCATACTAAATCAATAAATGCTTATTAACTATCTTCCTCCTGCCCCTTGCAGGAAAATACTGTGGTTTAGGCTTACAGATGGAGAATTTAAATGAATCAAAGGGTAATGAAGTTACGGTACAATTCATGAGTGGCATACACTTCTATGGACATGGGTTTCTTGCATCCTATTCAACCACTGACAAAACAGGTATTTATATGTTTCTTACCTAGTGCTATGTAAGCACACCACACATCTAAGTGTGCTTTCTTGCCATATGTAATTCATTCTTACTTTTCTGTTACCCAATTACTGATAAATTATTCAAAGTGAATTAAGCATGGATGGTTACAAAACCACGTCTAGACAGAGTAAGATGCATAATAACTTGGTTTATATGGTGCAGAACAATATGGGATTCGAATAAAGTTTATAAATGGCCCACTCATAAAACATCAAGGCAGTATACTGTAATGCATACAGACACAATTGAATATAAAAAAACCTTAAAACAATGCAAAATACAAAAGACCTGGGGTTTTTTTGGAAGTGGGCAAAGTCCCTAGAGTTCCTAACAGATAGCAACTATTGCATTGCAGCTACATCAGTTTTTGCCCAGTGACTTACCCATTCTCTTCCATTTCGGCAACCCCATCTATTGCTTATATGTGAGTATGTTCCATTGTATTCAGTGGGACTTAACTTCAAGTAAAGATGCATAGGATTGATCTGTGAGACCATGGTGCCCCCTCCCCTTTGTTGCTTTGTTTGGGCTGTTTCAGTATGGGTTAGATGTGGGTAATGATTATAATATGAACTGCAGTGGTGCCCCATTTGTGTATTTCCCTCCCCCCTCATAAAGATCCTCCAGCAATGCTTGGAGGATTCAGTGGGGCTGTTCTTATTCTCTCAGGCTTTTTTAAACATATCTGACTTTTTTGTGAGCTACCCTGGAATCTCTGCTGAAGGGTAGTATATTCTTTCAAACTATTTAAGCCTGCTTTCGTTTCACTCGATTAATTTAATGTTCGCCACATTCGCTCCAGGATTTCCCCCGAGCCTTTAAAATGAATACTTTCATAATCCGATAGATCTTATTAGGTCTCTAGCTAATTATAAATGTGCAATTCTCTACTATGCTGCTAAAAAACTATTTCATGTTGATGTATTATCAGACTGCAGCAAGTGCCTCATACTACATTGAATTGCAGATGAGTTGATTAGGGAGCTCAATTTTACTGTCTTCAAACTTTTCATCCCTTAATTACAGACATCCTGCTTTTTGAAAAATAATCTCTTTACTATGTTTTTATTTCTAGATTTAATAACGTGTTTAGACACTGCAAGTCAGTTTTCTGAGCCAGAGTTCAGGTAAGAATTGGTCTCTTTTTAATACTTTGATGATATTGATAATAATTCTTGATCTATAACACATCCCCAGATCAATCCAATATTCAGTGAATTTAACCCCAATTAATTTCCTACCCTGATCCTTCTCCATGTCAGTTCCTCCAGTTCATTTTACTTAATTAATCCAAAGGTCTTGGGAGAAGGCAGCAATTGAAGGATTAGAGTGTTCTATACCTCACCTAGCTACTTCTGTCAGGGACGCCCTCTCCCTGCAATCATAACCCCAAGTACCTGGTTGTCTCCAGAACAAATGCCCTGAGCCCAGGTTAAAATTGACACAGCCCATATTGGCCTGAACTCACAGAGGATGGACATTCCACATCCAGGAAGGGTGCACTTAGGCCCAGTGTACTGTCATCTGCAGTGGCCATTTGAAGCTCCAATACATGCAGTGGGACTTAATTTTAAAAATTTAAGTAAAAATAGATCACCACCTGTCTTCTTTGTACATCTGGTACCAGACCCACAGAAAAGCAGACACTGCCCCAGACAGTATTATTTATTGTAATACCAGGCTGTCCATTAAGAAGGTGGACTCCTAGTCACCATAGATCACAGAAATTATGGCATATGTTTTCAGTGCTTGTGATCCATTATTTTGGAGTATTAGTACATGGACTAACCATTAAAATGTGGTAGATTACATTAGGTCTCATAATAATTGGTTTTCAAGGTCTGAAGTGTGTCAACCTAGAAATTAATATGCATTCCCCCCCCATATAATTTGTGCTTACATACAGTTGAGTAATTCTTTATATCTTATACCTAAAAATGTTTGTAATCTCTCATGCCAGTAATCTACCCGAGGCACGGCATCTTCAGTAGTACAATATTATGCATGGTGTAGCAATATCCCCGTCTCCTTCCCCCACAACATCCTTAAATCACTAGACTTGTGTAGATGGATCCCTAAACTTGCTCAGTTAACTTTCCTGATTAAATTTTGCAGCTTGGCAGTTTTCACATGCTGTGCAGACCTGGATGTAATTACTTTGTAAATTCCACTGAAGTAATGGGATTTATTTAGAGTTCCAGGATTTAAGCATAAGGTGCACTAAGCCAATTCACAATAAGACACTATAGAGGCATTTAAGTGTACATGCACACCCACAAGGATTTGTGCAGATTTGATGTGTTTAGTATAAAAAAAATTACAATAAGAATGCATTACCCAATTTTTATAGAGCCAGATTCTTCCTTAAGTCTACTTATAATATAAACCCCACAACACTTTTAGCTACATACATACTCAATTTTTGCTATGAAAGTCTTCTCTTGGGCATGTGATTTTTCTGACTCTGGCAGATATTAAGTATTTTGTCATGCTTTTGTGAAGTAGTGGTATGTTTGACATGCCAGTTCATAAGGAGGGAAGTTCACCACCCAGGCTATTAAAAATTCCAGTTTTGTAATCGAAGGCAGTTTGCAGATCTTACTTTTATATTCCTGTTTCTTACAGTAAATATTGCCCAGCTGGATGTGTGCTTCCTTTTACTGATGTTTTTGGGACTGTTCCTCACGGCTACAGAGATGTAAGTAAACTTCAGAATGGTTGTTTGAACTTTTAATTGGGTATTCAACTGTAGTTTTCAGCTTATGGCTTTGTAATATGTCAGGGGTCAGCTAACTTTTTCGGCAGGGGGACCGGTCCACTGTACCTCAGACCTTGTGGGGGGCTGGACTATATTTTTTTTGGGGGGGGGAATGAACGAATTCCTGTGCCCCACAAATAACCCAGAGATCCATTTTAAATGAAAGCACACATTTTACTCATGTAAAAACACACTGATTCCCGGACCATCCGCGGGCTGGATTTAGAAGGTGATTGGGCCGGATCCGGCCCCTGGGTCTTAGTTTGCCTACCAATGTACAGCAGTAGCTCGGGTTACAAACGCTTCAGGTTACAGACGCTTCAGGTTACAGACTCCGCTAACCCAGAAATAGTACCTCAGGTTAAGAACTTTACTTCAGGATGAGAACAGAAATTGCGTGGCGGCGGCAGCAGCGGGAGGCCCCATTAGCTAAAGTGGTACCTCAGGTTAAGAAGAGTTTCAGGTTAAGAACGGACCTCAAGAACGAATTAAGTTCTTTACCCGAGGTATCACTGTAATATGTTAAGCACTCAAGGCACATTGATGTAGACAGGCTTTCAGTGACAATATCTCTTAACCAAGGATAGCTAACTTTGGCCCTCCAAATGCCTCAGCTGGCATGATCAATCCTCAGGGATGGCTGGAGTTTTAGTCCAGCAACATCCAGAATGCTACAAGTTAGCCATTTCTGTTCTAGGTCCATTTAAGATCTGGTACAGAATTATATCTGGATTGAGTGGGAGAGCTTTGTATTTTTGGCATGCTTAGAATATTAATAATAATAATAATAATAATAATAATAATAATAATAATAATAATAATAAATAAATAAATAAATAAATAAATAAATAATTTTATTTATATCCCGCCCTCCCCAGCCGAAGCCGGGTTCAGGGCAGCTAGCAACAATAAAATACTGTAGTACAACATTCTAAAATCATTTCATTATAAAATTAATTCAAATCAAATTGATGGCAACCATTAGGCTATCAAGTTCTGTGAAGATTGCCAAAGGAGGGAGTCAGGCTGTGCCCTGACCGAAAGCCTGGTGGAACAGTTCTGTCTTGCAGCCTGCGGAAAGATGTCAAGTCCCGCAGAGCCCTAGTCTCTTGTGGCAGAGCGTTCCACCAGATTGGAGCCACAGCCGAAAAAGCCCTGGCTCTAGTTGAGGCCAGCCTAACCTCTCTGTGGCCTGGGACCACATTTTGCAAAAGGAAAGCTTAATACTTATCAGATAGTTAGCAGTAGCTTCTTTAGCCTACTGAAAACTGTTGAAGTGCTATCAGATAGTAAGTAATCTATCTTCTCTCCTAAGTCATCCTCCATTTGCATGGCTGGGGTGCATGCAGGAGTGGTGTCCAACGTCCTAGGAGGTCAGATCAATGTCGTAATCAGCAAAGGCATTCCCTACTATGAAAGTTCTCTGGCTAACAATGTCACTTCAAAAGCGTAAGTCAATATGTTTGCTTTTCAGTTGCTACTTCTCTGTATTGTTAAAACATCATTGCAGGTAAATACTTAGTTCTGAAATATGAAGGCTAAGTTCAGGCAAGGATATCAGTTAAATTGTTATGCTGCAGTGCTCCTGTAGTGTTATTAGATAGTTTGGCCTATAAGTAATGAAGCATTACTCTTGCAAAGTTGTGAAAATATCTCTTTTTAAAGCAATTTTCCATAACATTGTTTGTTCGTGAAATTCCTTCTCTTTCTTGCTGATTACTGATTGTTCATAGCCAACTTCTGTTGTCATTCCTTTTCTTTAACTCTTAAAATATGAGATGGGCAGTATTTAAAAAGCCTTCACACACTACCATAAAGATTTTCGAGAAATATAGATGGACCATTTTATCCACTGTCCATATTTCTTGGAAGTCATGCACTAAGATTTAGTCTGGTATATTATTTTTTTTACTCAGGGTGAATACAATATTGCATGACTTCTCTTGAATATCCGCATTTTCCAAATGCCAATCTGGATGTTAAATTGTGCGATTTGGCTTTTTCTTATTTTACCTTGGAAATTTTGTTGCTAAACCATCAGTTCATTTAGCTCAATATTGGCTGGTAGACTCTCCTCATGTTTTGGGGCAGGATTCTTCCCAACTAGAGATGACGGGGATACAAGGCAGATGCGCTATCACTGAGCTATGGCTCTTTCCAGGGTGAAGTCTTTTAGATCAACTTTTTGTGCAGCTTTTATCCCATTAATATTAGAATAGTGTGCCAAGAGTAGTGAGTTTACTGCTATAATACAGAAACACCTCGCCCTTGAACGATGTTGTAATAGAACACAGAGAGAGAGAGAGAAATTAAGGGAAAATGTTACATTTTGTTGGAACTAAAGATGTAGTTTTGTGGTGTCTTTGGTTTGTTTTTTACACAGAGGAGCACTGTCTTCAGGTCTCTTCACTTTCAAAACTAGTGGTAAGCCTTTCTTCTCTATATTGCCCCTTTGTGTTTAATGGGATCTATACTCTTATCTAGCCTGGTATCTCTTTGATCCCTTGCCAACATAAACTCGTGGCTAAATGGAGATCTTCCAACTTTGGTCTTGAACTATCCCGCCTTCCTTCTCGGTTATTGTAGGAGATAATCGTTCCCACTCTCCTGCACCCCCTGCCTTGAAGTGATCTGTGAAGTTTTTCATTCTATTTCAGAATCAAAGATGTTTATTATTATATAAATGTTTGTATCATGCCCTTCCGGTGCTTACCGCTTAGGGAAACACCATCAGTGCTCTGATGGTGTTTCCTGCTTGGCAGGGGGTTGGACTCGATGGCCCTTGTGGTCTATTCCAACTCTATGATTCTATGATTCTAGGGCTGCTAACAATTAAAACCAACCATTAAAAAAATGATACTATAAAAGCAGAGGTGCTTCAGATAGAAACTGTGGCACTCCCTCCCCACTCAGATATATTTGGCACCAAGTCTTTCTGATACCAGCTGAAGAAGACCCACTCTATCACCCAGGCTTTTGGCTGAATCTATATTGTTGCACTTTGTAAACAGCTATTTTAACTCTTGTGTTTTTGCACTCACCTGTTTTTACCGTTTTCTTGTTTAAATTTGTTGTGTGTTACCTGCTGTACCCTGCTTTGAGATTATTTCATAATGAAAAGTAGGTCACAAATTTTATGGGGGGGGGAAGCATCAAGTAGAGGTTTATCTCTACATTAGAACAAATGCATGGCAAAATTGAAAGGTTTCTGCCATAGAACTAAACACCAAAAGAGAGGTTTCAACCAAACATCCCAGAGCAAAGTGTTTTGCAATTTAGGTGTTGCCAGAGGGAAGATCCAAAATTGTGCTACGTTTTTTTTAATGTTGCTAAAGTCCAGGTTTTCCTTAAAGTAGCGATGAAAACCTCTTGTTGGAATGATTGTCTGCAAAGACAGGCATTTCGATGAGAGATAATCAACTTACTTGCATTTCAATATATGTTGTTTAAATGGTTCAAGGTTCATTGTGATCTAGGTCCTGTTCTGTCTTTAGGCCTTGGGAAGGTTTTAAGTATTTATTGCGTTATAAAAGTTGCACCATCTCTTGGACGCTTTGTATGTTTAGGTTGCTACGGGACACTGGGAATGGAGTCTGGAGTCATTGCTGATTCGCAGATTAATGCATCATCCTTTCTAGAATGGCCTGAGCAAGTGGGGCAGCCCAGCACCTGGAGGCCGGAAAGAGCCAGGTTGAAAAGGCCTGGACACTCTTGGGCAGCTTTTACCAATGATGAGTATCAGTGGTTGCAAATAGACCTAAACAAAGAGCAACGCATAACAGGTAAGCACACCTGTGTTCATTCTTCAAAGGACAAGAGTCCTCTCCTAGCAGTAAACACCCCAATGCCTAGAGGTGGATTTAGGGCAACATGATTTCTCCCCCCGGGTGCAGGGGTGAAGGGAGTTCCTTCCCACCTCCTTCCTTCCCAAAGCTGGGCAAGTGAGGCACTGGGCTTTGGGAAGGAGGTGTGAGGCTGTGTCTGAGTCCTAGAGGTCCCCTGCCTCCTTCTCAAAGCCTAGTTAGTGTTTTCCCAGCTTTGGGAAGGAGGTAGGAGGGCTGTAGAACTCTGCCAGAGCCTTGTGTCTCCTTCCCAAAGCCCATTACCATCCTTACTGGAGGTGTGTATGGGGGGGTCATCAACATTTGGCCTCACACAGGACACCATAATACCAAGATCCACCCCTGATGCTTTGAATGAATGAATGAATAGCATTTATTACATCGGTCCGTGGACAATAGCAGATTGAAACACAATGCCAAGCATTAAAAAGCCATAAAAGTGCAGAAGTCACAATTACAGTGAAGACATGGAGCTTTATTTACAAAACAGATCGACGTTATTAGAACAACAAAAAATACATGTGACATTTGGAAGTTATTTAAGGATATGTTTACTCTCGTGTCTTCAAATCTCCATGACAATTTACAAATACTGAATCAGATATTACGGATATTGCCTTTTCGGTGTAGAAAGAAGTGTGTGTGTGTGTGTGTGTGTGTTCATGTCCTCAGTCCAGTGCTATACATGAGCAATGCCCTTACATTAGTAATGGCCTCTTGTAGCAGAGATCGATGCTTGAGCCCTCTGCCAGTTTGGGCTCTGTGTTAGGCAAGGCAGGAGGAAAGCCTGCCACAAAGGTTTGTCTAGTCCAGCGTCATGGTCTGCCTGGTGGCCAGCCAGAGGTCCATGTGAAGCCCACAAGCAGGCCATGAAGGCAGCATCTCCCTCTGCTGTGGTTTCCCCGTGACTAGAATTCAGAAGCATGTTGCCTCTGATCCTGGGGGTGGTAGTTTCTGATAGCATCATCCTCCATGAATTTGTCTGCTTGCCTTTTAAAGCAGTCTGAAGTTGGTAGACATCGCTTCATCTTGTGGTAGCAAATTCCATAGTTTAACCATGAGCTAGCTGTGTGAAGAAATACGTCCTCCTGTCTGTCCTGAATTCCCCATTCTTCAGCTTCACCGGATGAGCCCAGGTTCTCGTATTGTGAGGGAGGGAGAAGAAGGTCCTTCTACTTTCCTGTCCCCAAACATAATTTACATACCTCTGTCATGTCCCTCCTTCTTGCCTTCCTAATTAAAAATAAATAAATCCAAACCTGGCAACCTTTTCTTACAGTTGAGCATTTTGATTAATTTGTTTTTGCACCTTTCAATATCTTTTTTTTTTATAAAGTATTCGAAGTGTAGTTGAAGAACAGATTTGTTGAGAGGGACTACAATATTGACAGTTTTATTTTCAGTCCCTTTCCTAACAATCCTGAACGTGGAATTTGCCCCTATTTCACCATTGCCACCTATTTGATTCAAGTTTCCATCGGCCTATCAACCCTGACCTCAATATTCCTTTCGGGTCAGCCATTGTCAGACTGGATAGCTCAGTTGTTTAGAGTGTGGCACTGAGAATGCCAAGGTTGCAGGTTTGATCCCTCTATGGGATGGCTGCATATTCCTGCACTGCAGAGGGTTGAACTACTAGATGATCCTCAGCATAGCTGTCAACTTTCCCCCTTTTTAAAGGGAAATCCCCTTATTCCAAATAGCATTCCTCGCAAGAAAAGGGAAAAGTTGACAGCTATGATCCTCAGGGTCCCTTCCAACTCTGCTGTTCTATGATCCAGGGCATGTAAAGCCAATTGGAGTGTTTGCTATCACCACCTTATAGCCCATCACTGTATATGTAGATTATTTGTTTGTTTGCCCCATTGGGCAGAATTTTACCCTTACCCTGAACCACATTTGCTATTTCATGGCAAATTGAGCCAGTTTGGAGAGATCCTTCTTTGGAGTTCTTCGTAATTCCCTTTTCTGTTTTTGCTGGGCTATCGTCTGTGTTGATTAAATGTTTTACAAATGTTCTTGCTATTTATTGTAAATGAGAACCTTCTTATCCACAGGTATAATAACTACTGGATCCACCTTAGCAGAGTACCATTATTATGTCTCTGCCTACAGGATTCTGTACAGGAACGATGGGCAGAAGTGGACAGTATACAAAGAACCTGGTGTTGAGAGGGATAAGGTAAGCCTGCCCAATATTCTATGTGCAAAGTAAGATGAAATTGGAGTACATAGGAACTCTGGGTGTGTGTTTAATGATTCTGGAATCATCACTTAAGTATGAAGGTGCTTTTCCCAAGGAATTAACATTCTTCCATGAATCATAGAATCACAGAATCATAGAGTTGGAAGAGACCACAAGGGCCATCGAGTCCAACCCCCTGCCAAGCAGGAAACACCATCAGAGCACTCCTGACATATGGTTGTCAAGCCTCTGCTTAAAGACCTCCAAAGAAGGAGACTCCACCACACTCCTTGGCAGCAAATTCCACTGTCGAACAGCTCTTACTGTCAGGAAGTTCTTCCTAATGTTTAGGTGGAATCTTCTTTCTTGTAGTTTGGATCCATTGCTCCGTGTCCGCTTCTCTGGAGCAGCAGAAAACAACCTTTCTCCCTCCTCTACGTGACATCCTTTTATATATTTGAACATGGCTATCATATCACCCCTTAACCTCCTCTTCTCCAGGCTAAACATGCCCAGCTCCCTTAGCCGTTCCTCATAAGGCATCGTTTCCAGGCCTTTGACCATTTTGGTTGCCCTCCTCTGGACACGTTCCAGTTTGTCAGTGTCCTTCTTGAACTGTGGTGCCCAGAACTGGACACAGTACTCCAGGTGAGGTCTGACCAGAGCAGAATACAGTGGCACTATTACTTCCCTTGATCTAGATGCTATACTCCTATTGATGAGGCCCAGAATTGCATTGGCTTTTTTAGCTGCCGCGTCACACTGTTGGCTCATGTCAAGTTTGTGGTCAACCAAGACTCCTAGATCCTTTTCACATGTACTGCTCTCAAGCCAGGTGTCACCCATCTTGTATTTGTGCCTCTCATTTTTTTTGCCCAAGTGCAATACTTTACATTTCTCCCTGTTAAAATTCATCTTGTTTGTTTTGGCCCAGTTCTCTAATCTGTCAAGGTCGTTTTGAAGTGTGATCCTGTCCTCTGGGGTGTTAGCCACCCCTCCCAGTTTGGTGTCATCTGCAAATTTGATCAGGATGCCCTTGAGTCCATCATCCAAGTCGTTGATAAAGATGTTGAATAAGACCGGGCCCAAGACAGAACCCTGTGGCACCCCACTAGTCACTCTTCTCCAGGATGAAGAGGAACCATTGATGAGCACCCTTTGGGTTCGGTCAGTCAGCCAGTTACAAATCCACTGAGTGGTAGCATAGTCAAGACCGCATTTTACCAGCTTCTTTACAAGAATATCATGGGGCACCTTGTCAAATGCCTTGCTGAAATCAAGGTAGACTACATCCACTGCGTTCCCTTCATCTACCAGGCTTGTAATTCTGTCAAAAAACGAGATCAGGTTAGTCTGGCATGACTTATTTTTCAGAAATCCATGCTGACTATTGGTGATCACAGCATTCCTTTCTAGGTGCTCACAGACTGTTTGCTTAATGATCTGCTCCAGAATCTTCCCTGGTATTGATGTCAGACTGACTGGGCGGTAATTATTTGGGTCCTCTCTTTTCCCCTTTTTGAAAATAGGGACAACATTTGCCCTCCTCCAGTCTGCCGGGACTTCGCCTGTTCTCCAGGAATTCTCAAAGATGACTGCCAGTGGTTCTGAAATCACATCTGCCAGTTCTTTTAATACTCTTGGATGCAGTTCATCTGGCCCTGGAGACTTGAATACATCTAGACTAGCCAAGTATTCTTGTACTATCTCCTTAGTTATTCTGGGCTGTGTTTCCTCTGCTGAATCATTTGCTCCAAATTCTTCAGGTCGGGCATTGTTTTCTTTATCGGAGAAGACTGAGGCAAAGAAGGCATTGAGGAGTTCAGCCCTTTCTGTGTCCCCTGTTTGCATTTCACCATCTTCTCCTCTGAGTGACCCCACGGTTTCTTTGTTCTTCCTTTTGCTATGAACATACCCATAAAAGCCTTTTTTGTTGCTTTTAACCTCTCTAGCAAGCCTGAGTTCATTTTGTGCTTTAGCTTTTCTGACTTTGTGTCTACACGTGCTGGCTATTTGTTTGAATTCCTCTTTGGTGGTTTCCCCCCTTTTCCATTTTTTGTACACATCCTTTTTTAATCTTAACTCAGTTAAAAGTTCTTTAGATAGCCACCCTGGCTTCTTTAGGCACCTTCCATGTTTCCGTCTCATTGGTATTGCCTGAAGTTGTGCTTTTACTATCTCCCTCTTAACAAACTCCCAGCCATCTTGAACTCCCTTTCCTTTTAGTATTACTGTCCATGGGATCTCACCCAGCACTTCCCTAAGCTTTATGAAGTCGGCTTTCTTAAAGTCGAGAAATTGAGTCCTAGTATGCTTGGCTGCTCCTTTCCGCTGTATAGTAAACTTCAGAAGAGCATGATCACTCGCGCCTAATGATCCTTCCACTTCTACCCCACTAACCAGGTCATCAACATTGGTTAGGACCAGATCTAAAATGGCTGTTCCTCTTGTTGCTTCTCCCACTTTCTGGACAATGAAGTTGTCTGCAAGGGCAGTGAGGAATCTGTTTGACCTTATGCTCTTGGCTGAGTTTGTCATCCAACAAATATCCGGGTAATTGAAGTCCCCCATTACTACTATCTCCCTTCCTTCTGCATGCTTGGCCATCTGTTCCAGGAAGGCATCATCTATGTCCTCCGTTTGGCTTGGGGATCTATAGTAAACTCCCACAATGAGGTCACTGTTATTCTTCTCTCCCTTAATTTTGACCCAAATGCTCTCACTTTGGCTTTGAGGTTCTAAATCTTGGATCTCTTCACAGGTATACACATCCCTGACATATAACGCCACTCCTCCTCCTTTCTTGTCTGGTCTGTTTCTTTGAAATAGATTGTATCCCTCCATTATTACATTCCAATCGTGGGATTTATCCCACCAGGTTTCAGTGATTCCTATTATGTCATATTTAGTTTGCTGTACCAGGAGCTCAAGCTCATCTTGTTTATTTCCCATGCTTTGCGCATTAGTGTACAGACATTGAAGTCCATTAATCATTCCCCCGTGTCTCTTATTTAAGGATTTTCTCCTCCCACCACTAGGTCTGCATGCTCTTTGCTCCATTCGGTCTATGACATTTGGATGATCATCTTCATCAATTGATAGACTCCTACCTTCAGGAGCACTGTCTCCCTCCCCCACATTAGTCAGTTTAAAGCCCTCCTGATGAGGTTTCTGAGATTTTTTGCAAAAACATTCCTCCCAACCGTTGTGAGGTGCAGCCCATCGCTTGCCAGAAGTCCATCTTCAAGAAACTGCATTCCGTGATCTAAGAATCCAAACCGTTCCTGTTTGCACCATTTGCGAAGCCAGTTGTTCACTTCCACTATTTTTCCCTCTCTCCCTGGGCCACGTCGTTCAACTGGGAGGACAGATGAGATGACAATTTGTGCATTTAATTGCTTCAATTTCCTGCCCAGAGCCTCGTAATCTCTTTTGATCTTCTGGAGGCTATTGCTTGCAGTGTCATTGGTTCCCACATGAACCAAGAGGAAGGGGTATTTGTCAGTGGGTTTTATGATTCCTTGCAGTCGTTCAGTTACATCTTGGATCTTAGCCCCGGGGAGACAGCACACTTCCCGAGACATCTTGTCAGGCCCACAGATCACTGCTTCTGTTCCCCTCAGTAGGGAATCCCCTATCACCACTACACGCCTCCTCTTAGGTCTGGTCGGGGTTCTTCTGTGAGCTGTCGGTTCCAAGGTCGCCTGGACATTCCCAGAGGACTGCCTTTGCTCCTCGTCTTCATATACCTGATCGACTGTAATGAGGGAGAGATCCTCAAATGGAGTCTGCTCTTCGTCTTCCATGCTAGGGGAAAGGACCTCAAAGCGATTGCGTATTTCTAAACAATCAGAGCGAACCCTGGGCCTCCTACTTCTTTGAGTCACGTTTCTCCATATATCTGGCTCCTGTGTTGGTGAACTAGCCACCTTCTCAGGGGAGTCCCCTGTCTCTTCCTTGGTGGAGACGGTGTGCTCTGTTGCTTCCAAGAAGAGTTCCAGCTCTCTAATTCTTTGGAGCGTAGCTACACGTTCCTCCAGTTGCTGGACTTTGTCTTTTAAGAGGGCAATCAACATGCAATTGCTGCAGGTAAAGCTGCCTGCAACCTTTGGCAAGATGGCAAACATTGCGCAGGAACCACAGGCGACTGCAGCTGTTCCCTCACCCTCCATCTTGGGAACGTGTCGTTGGATAGAAAGCATGCTGGTTATTACAGAGCTCTGAAAATGGGAGCATAAGTTTGTCTCTCATTTGAAACATGAGTCACACGAGCCCATCCAGGATACTCATGGAAGAAACAGAGGCTGGAGGAAAGAAAGATTTCTCTCCTCACATGTGTATTCCTTGGATTGAAGGAAGAGAGAATTCCAGAAGAAGCCAGGAATACATCTACGCTTACAGTGTGTCTGTGTGTGATGTGCATGCATAGAAGGAGGGTGAGGAGATGGGATCCTGGGATTTTTTTTGGGGGGGGGGGAGGAGATTTGAAGCTAGGCTTTTGACACAATGAAGAATATGTATGGTGTGTATTTGTTAGATGGTAGTACATTACTAATATTGTATGCTGCGTTGAAGTGTTTCGGCGTTACATTTTTGTACTGCTTGACCTAATGTAGAGCGGTTTGCCCTCTTGTGCTTGGAAAAGGCAGCAGGTTGTGAACTTGGATGCTGTGCAAATCTGACTCTACCACTACCAAGGTTTTGGTAGCAGGTCACATCAATGAAGGTTTGCCTTTAGTTTCCCCCAGATAGATGCTGCGTACCTATCACCTTATGAAAATATAGGGAAGCTTTTCAAAAGAGACCACTGTTGATTGGTATTTCCAGTAGTAAATTAGAGTAGTAAATATATTAAGTGGAGCAACAAATGCTTAGTATGCAGTACGCTAGGAAAAATGATCAGAAATGAACTGTAATACTTGCTTTTGACTGCCCTCTTCTGGGCATACAAAATAATAATTTTAAAAAGTCCATCCACCTAAACTTTTGTAGTTAACTGAGTGTAATCGACCAAAGGTTAGGTAGATGGGCTTTCTGTTGGGTAGGTGAACATTTTATACTGCAGTATGGCTGTGTGTGTACACACACACACACACACACACAGTATCTGGTTGGAGCTCATTTAATGTGTCATTTAGCAGATGTATACAAGGCTTTTCAATAAAAGGTATCTAATTAAAACCCCCAGAATAAGTTATACTACTAGAGCCATCTGTACTTTAAGAACTCTGTGTCTGCTGCCCAGAGTAGCTTAGGCAAGCAGAAGAAAATAGGAGTATTAGCTTATTTTCCTGGAGCAGTATTTTGTAATGCAGAACTTCTAATGTCTTAGAAAAATGATGTATTTTACATCAAATTGTGTTTTTCCAGGTATTTCAAGGCAACACTGGGTATTATCAAGAAGTCCGCAATAATTTCATTCCACCCATTATTGCTCGTTTCGTTAGAATAAACCCTTTGAAGTGGCACCAGAAAATCGCAATGAAAGTTGAACTGCTAGGATGTCAGTTCAGTGTTGGTAAGTGGAGTGACTTTTACCATTCTTTATATTAGCATGACTTGCCTTGGGAGAAGAATGTGATACAGACTGAATTTGTTTGTGCCTTCCCAGTTTGTGTTATTCCCAGTTCTTTGAATAGCATGTATACTAACAAATTTGACAGATTTTCATTGCTTGACTGTCTGGTGTGCAGCAATTGCATCAATGTTTTAAGTTTTGTTCCCAAAGTATGAGCACAATGCAGCTCGCAACAGTTTTCTTAGGCAGTAATCCATGCATTCATTTGTTGGCACAGCAAGTCTTAGCAGCAATTTTGTATTGGCATATTAAAGATTATGCAAATGCCATTGTATTTTGTAGCATGCTTCATTACATAAAGGAATCTGCTTGGTGCTTTAACGAATGGCATGACCTTTAAATTTTGGTTTTCTTTAAAGTTCGGGCTCCAAGACCTACAGTACCCCCACCACCCAGGAACAATGACTTTCCTTCGCACACTGATAAAACCACCTTCACTCCGGAGATCAAGAACACTACAGTAGCTCCAAGCGTAACCAAAGGTAGTGACATCTAGATTGCAAATAGCATTGCATAAGGCTAAGAGTCAATAGTAATGCTATATTGATTCCCTGCTATGTTTTTGGTATATTGCCAACTATATTGATTTATCAATGAAATATATATATAGTAGTAGAGATTCATGTAGCAGAGATAGATAGTTGACATATACGGTAAAGGGTAAAGGACCCCTGGATGGGTAAATCCAGTCAAAGGCGACTATGGGGTTGTGGCACTCATCTCGCTTTCAGGCCAAGGGAACCGGCGTTTGTCCACAGATAGCTTTCCTGGTCATGTGGCCAGCCTGACTAAACCACTTTTGGTGCAACAGAACACCGTGACGGAAACCAGAGTGCACAGAAACACCGTTTACCTTCCCGCCACCTATTCATCTACTTGCACTGCTGTGCTTTCGAACTGCTAGGTTGGCAGGAGCAGGGGCCGAACAACGGGAGCTCACCCCGTCGCGGGGATTCAAATTGCCGACCTTCTGATCGGCAAGCCCAAGAGGCTCAGTGGTTTAGACCACAGCCAACAGGGCATGCTAAATTTGAGTAGAAAACTAGAAATGGATACCCAACTGCTAACCAGTTTATGTACAATTTAACAAACATTCTCAGCTTCAAACGTTTTACTGGGGTGATATCAGGATGGGCCTTTGGGTCTCATTAGGCCTGACTTTGGTCTGAGAGGACATTTCTCACCAAACCGCAGCTGAGGGGCCTGCACTCAGGGCCAGCTGATTGACACTGCCAGCAAGCTCTACTTTGTTTGCAGGCGATCGTTTGGATTCAAACTGGCGCCTGTAAAGGGGCCTTGCTGTAAATGGGAATTGGCTGATTGTTGGTTACAATGAGGCCTTTTGAACTTTGACAGATTGGTGGTTCTAAGGATCAAGCCCATTGCACAAATTCAGTTTCCCTCCCTCTCCACTACATATTATTATGAGTGCAAAATGGTATTTTGCTGTAGTAATATTTGGGTGCTATTACAAGCTTTAAATGAACGTTCTTCAGTATTTGTACAAGGAACAAAGGGGGTTTCGTTTAGTGTGCCTGCAATGTTTATGGACTCCACTTGTTTAATGGCTTTCAGATGTGGCATTGGTAGCTGTTCTGGTTCCTGTGTTGGTCATGGTCCTTACCACCCTCATTTTGATCTTAGTTTGTGCCTGGCATTGGAGAAACAGGTAAAGGAATAATTAAATGCTTTGCATCCTCTGCAAGGGAGGACAATAGGTACAGGAGGAAATGGGAGAAATGAAATATGGTCAGTTAAAATGCTCGAGAGCCAGTGTGGTGTAGTGGTTAAGAGCGGTAGTCTCGTAATCTGGGGAACCGGGTTCGTGTCTCCGCTCCTCCACATGCAGCTCCTTGGGCCAGTCACACTTCTCTGAATTCTCTCAGCCCCACTCACCTCACAGAGTGTTTGTTGTGGGGGAGGAAGGGAAAGGAGAATGTTAGCCGCTTTGAGACTCCTTAAAAGGGAGTGAAAGGCGGGATATAAAATCCAAACTCTTCTTCTTCTTCTTCTTCTTCAATTTATGCATTAACATGAAGAATAATTTAAATTAGTGTGGATGTGTGTTCAGGAGGGCCTTGTCCTGGTCGTGCAGTACTTTAACCTGAACTACTTTGATATGTAGAAATCTTGAGACGGCTGTGTAGGTTCAGCAGCTTTTATATCAACAGAACATGCAAATTTAACTAACTTCCAGGGGGAGGGTTGTCTTTGCTGCTATTTCTTTAAAATAAAGCAAGAAGGGGACCAGCCCCTTAGTATTTCAGTCTCTCCACCATCACCCCACCCCCACCCCAGAAAAGACTGTACCTGTTCTTCAAAACTAGTACCCGCAGTGTTGATCTCAAATGGCTGTTTCATATTGACACTAATTTTGGATGTGTTCTGCATTTCACTCACTTTTCCAGAAAGAGAAAATCAGAAGGAACCTATGACATACCATATTGGGATCGTGCAGGTAATAACCATCTACTAACGGTTGGACTTGGGCAAGCACTTGCTTGCTCATCCCCCTTATACAAAGCCTCTCTATTGTTTGACTTGATTACCTGAGCAGCCCAAATCCTTCCTGCTTTCTCCTCTCTGTATGTTTTACAGGGGAGGCCCTTTCTGTTCCCACCAAGGGTGGAAGCACTGTTGATGGCAGCAAGAGAGAAGGCCTTCTTAATGGCTCCACCAATTTTTGGAGCAACTCCCCCCCCCCCCCGGTGAAGCATGGCTGGCTCCGTCTGTTGCTGCCTTTCACTGATCAGGAAATCAAACCCTATCTCTTAACCTGAACCTTAGCTCCAACTCAAAACCAAACCCTATCTAACTCTCTCCCTCAGATACTGCCCCTTTTATTCTCCCTGCCAAAGTGCTGTTCCTCCCCACTCTGTGGCCAGCTGACTCTGTAGCCCATCCATGAGAGGCTCCAACATTCTGGTGGAGTTTCAGAGGAACTACATCACCAGACTCTAGTCTGGCTCTGCTGTCTTTGTCACAGGTGCTGAATGCCCCATCCTCTTCCTCCTGGGCTTAAGAGGGACCTTCACACAAACACATGAGGGGATTCCTGCATTGCAGAAGGTTGGATTAGATGACTCTTGGGGTCCCTTCCAACTCTATAATTCTGTGATATCACACCCACCCACACCCCACCACCACCATGTATGAATCTACATGTGGAATGCTCCGCCACATGAGGTGGCGCCTAGGACCTATACATGCATATATCCATTGAACATACAACCCCTAATGCATTGAAAGAACACATAAGAGCCCGCAGTGTCTGGCCAGTGGCCCATCTAGTGCAGAATCCTCACGTTGGCCACCCAGATGCCTGTGAAAAGCACACAAGGCAGGACATGAGCACCACCGCCCTCTCTGCATCTTAGCAGGTGGTCTTCTGTTTGTTTACACTATGGTTTGTTAACAAGCTGAGATCACAAACCATGATTTGATTCTGGGTTGTTTGAACAACTGAACTATCCAAAGCTCCCGAGTTTAGACATAATGTAAACCACCCTGTGATCTTCAGTTGAAACGTGGTATAAAAATATAATCATCATCTTTATTTAATTAAAATACACACACACACACACACACACACACATATGTATATGTATGTATACATATACACATAAAGAAAAAGAAAGAAAACATACAATTTTTATTTTACACTATTATACAATCATTCATTAAATTTCTAAATAAAAGACTTCCAATTCTTCTCATTGTACTTGTATTGTTATTTACGTTTAAACGCACAGCCTTCTATTACCCTGGTTTGTTTTCGGGTACTCTAGTAAATTAACATTTACACATTGTATTTTACAAGGATCAGTTTAGTTCCGCAAGGAGATTGTTATTTGAACAATATGTTTTTAGGTCATCTTTGAATATTTTCCATTCTTTGTATACTTTCTGGTTTGAGAGCCCTCTTACTTTCCCCATCATCTCTGCCAGTTCAAGGTATTCAATCATAAGAGTCTGCCATTCTGTTATCATGGGCGTTGTTTCATTTTTCCAGTTTCTTGCCACTAATATGGTATAGAGATGTAATAAAGAAGTCTCCTCTTCATTGCCACATAGGAAGAGGAAAGGGGTAGAGGAGAAGCACGTGAGCCAAGGGCTTGCCACTGTTTGTCTATGTAGCCCAAAATTGTGCTAAACAGGCAAATTGCTTCAGAGTAACCAGGTAACCATTACAGGGGAAGTTCCAAAGCTAAAGAATGCATATAGATTCATAACCATGTCACTTGTAAACCTTGATATAGGTTGGTGGAAAGGCATGAAGCAGTTTCTTCCTGCCAAGTCTGTAGAACACGAGGAAACACCTGTTCGTTACAGCAGCAGTGAAGTTAGTTGCCTTAGATCAAGAGAAGTTACAACCATGTTACAAACCCAAACTGCAGGTATTTGTCTTCTCCAGTTTATCTTGATTTCAGTAAATGGTGCCTGTTTTAAATATCTTTGCAGATTAAATTGCAATAGTCTTACCTTCCTGTATTTCCTCCCATTCCCTCTAAATTCTTTTAAAAATCTGTGCCGGGGATAGATGTCCAAATACAGCTTGTAGAAGGACTGATTCTGGAGTTAGCCAGTGTGGTACAGTCCTCTCACAGAATTGTGTCACTTGAGTTTTTATGAACAATCTGCTTGAGTGTGGCTAGTTGAAAATCCCACCATGGAGAAGTTGCAAAACCAACTTTTCCTAATAATTGCTTGGTTTTTTTCATGCTTTCAAGTATAACCAAGTGTAACCAATAATCATTTGAACTAGCTCACATCTTTTGAAGCGGCTAGTAAAACATAATTCACAAAATATTTAACTGGACCTCTTTACTCAGAAGTATTGATTTCTATTATTGTTTCACTTAAATATGGCATATGTGATTATGCTAGTAGGACTGCAAAAAGTTTTGTAAGGAGGATTATGGGAAATATTGCAGAGAAAATTATGAATAGATTTTTGTTAAGGATTTTTAAAAGTAATAGTGAAATTAATGAAATGCAGATTAAGTGATAAAGATCGAAAAATCTTCAGATGTAGTTGATGGAAGTCCAAAATATTGTATAAGATAAGAATATATGTTACATGATTTTTGGAAATATATATATATATATATATATATGGCATATGCATAACAGAAGTAGATAAAGTATTGACATGATCCATTAATCTGTTTGGACTGGTTTACACATGGTGGCCCCAGTATGATCATCCCAGGAACACTTGAGACCACTGTTAGCCTGAAACCACTGCCCAAATTCCTGGTGCCATCAGAAGATCAGAAGTAGCCTCATAACATTACTGATAGGTAGAGGTGCTGATTCAAATGAACAGTGACCCTATGCGCTCCTGAGATCTTCCCACTGGAGCAGTCTCATGTGTGATCTGGCCCGTTTCCATTCCAAGTGCGTTTTTTTTTTATTACCAGTGCAATGGCAGTACAGTGGTGCCTCGCAAGACGAAATTAATCCGTTCCGCGAGTCTCTTCGTCTTGCGGTTTTTTCGTCTTGCGAAGCACGGCTATTAGCGGCTTAGCGGCTATTAACGGCTTAGCGGCTTTAAGAAAAAGGAAACAAACTCGCAAGACGTTTCATCTTGCGAAGCAAGCCCATAGGGAAATTCGTCTTGCGGAACGACTCAAAAAACGGAAAACCCTTTCGTCTAGCGAGTTTTTCGTCTTGCGAGGCATTCGTCTTGCGGGGCACCACTGTATGTGACAGCTGGAAAACCCTTGATGATACTGGTCTCTCTTTGTACAGAGTATGCACAGCCACTGGTGGGAGGAATTGTTGGCACACTTCACCAGAGATCAACCTTTAAACCTGAAGAAGGAAACGAAACAAGCTATGCTGATATGGATCCTTACAATTCACCCGAGCAAGAGATTTACCATGCCTATGCTGAACCACTACCTATCACTGGACCAGAATATGCAACACCAATTGTGATGGATATGTCAGGTCATCCCGCAGCTCCCCTGGGCATTTCTACTGTATCTACTTTCAAAGCTCCAGGAAATCAAGCCGCTCCCATAGTTGGGGCATACAGCAAACTTGTTTCCAGATCAGATAGTTCATCGCCTACTCGAGTACTCTATGACACACCCAAAGGAATGCCAGGACTCAATCCCACAGATGAGTTGGTATACCAGGTACCACAGAACATGCCACATTCCACAGAGAATAAAGAAGATGTTAGTTAGAGAATGTGGCTTTCAAAAATTAAATCCTTTGGAGATCACTTTTTGCGTTGGAAGAAAAATGTGTGACTTGGTGGGAGCCCAGAAAAAACGAGTCAATTGCCCTTTTGAGGGTCTGTACACAACTACTGCTTTCCTGTTTATAGAATGATGGGCTTTCCATTCACTACTGATGGGCACTACATTTTTTTGCTAGACAGGTGTGAGAAGCTTTCAAAGATGCTGAATCGCTGAGTGTAAATACATGTTCCACAACAGATATATAATGTGCCACTATAGATATATAATTAATCAAAATGATCTATGGTCCATGAGCCAAGAAAAGGAAAGGTACTATTCTGGATATAGAAAAAAGTCACTGAGTCCAACATACCAATTTCAAATTAATTGCTATCTAGCAAGCTGGTATTTTCATAAGGCTTCACATTGTAAAAGTAAACTGATTATTGTGCTTCCTGTAACAGGAAGTTAGTGGCAAGTTATAAGGAAAACTGATCCGTAAAATTAACAAGTTTCCTTTGTTGATTTCTTTGATGAAATCAATTGGTAGTATAGAAAATACCTGGAATCTCTGGCAAGCATGACTTGCTATACACTAGTAATCACTCTCTGTTGATCCCTTTGGAGTACAGTGGTGCCTCGCAAGACGAAATTAATTCGTTCTGTGAGTTTTTTCGTCTTGCAAATTTTTCATCTTGCGAAGCAATGCACCCTGGGTATTAACGGTTTTAAGAAAAAGGAAACAAACTTGCAAGACGTTTTTGTCTTGCGAAGCAAGCCCATAGGGAAATTCGTCTTGCGAAGCAACTCAAAAAAACCAAAAACCCTTTCGTCTTGCGAGTTTTTCGTCTTGCGAGGCATTCGTCTTGCGAGGTACCACTGTAGTTTTGTATGAATGCTGTTCTCCCTAATATCTGGGTGCTCCTTGCCACTTCCTAGGGGGGTGAATTCCCTGAAGATGATACATTTTCTAAAATTTGTTACAAATTTACTAAAATTTGTAAAAGGGACCTTACTGAGAATCCTTGGCTCAACTAAAACTATAATTTCTTTAAAAAAAATAACCCCAAAGCCCTCCAATGATGGCCTCAAACAGCAAAAAAATAAATATTTCATTTAGATTAAAGGAAGGGATATTTTTAAGGAGGGAAGGATAAGTTCACTTCTATAAAACATAAGCACACTGGCATCATTGCATGTAGGTTTTTAACGTAAACGTAAATCATGCATAGATGAACAGCTTGGAGCCTTCTGAATGTGAGGTGGCGATTAGATTGAAATATAGCAATGTTTGAAGTTTTAGCATTTGATCTACTATGTATTGCATAAAAAATATTTTTTTCACCCCTAGATTCTTCAGGTTCAAAATTATCATACCATTTCATTCAGGACTAAAGGTATTTCAGCTTCTAACTCCTAGTGAGATTATTTTTCCAAGGTTTATATACTTGAAACCAGTTAGTAACTTTTGAGCACAATGAGAATTGCTGAAAGCATAGCTGTATAACCTACAAGCCAGTCTCCCTTTGGCCATGCTTTAAATGTGTATATATTTTTTACAAAGCACATTAGGGCGACATGAAAAGAATGCTTTGTTTTTATTGTATTATAACAGCACTGTAGTGATGATGTAGAACAGATAAATGTGATATCCCCTCTATACGCAATAGCCCAGTTTTATGGACTTCATTATGAACATATAGTTCAAAAGAATATTGGGTGTTATCCCATTGTGTTCACCTGCTAGCAGCAGATTGTCCACTTGCAGAATGAGATTTTCTCCCTTCCTCTCCTCCTCTGCACAGACACCAAATCTTCTTCAGAGAGAGGGAAGGTGGCAGAGGGTTAAAGGGTAAGGAAGCCTAAATCCACTTGAACTGTATTGGATACTACCCATTTCTATTTTTCTTGTGGTCTGTATTGTTGAATGCACAATATATCTCAATGTAGCTGGCTGGAAAGGTAAATCATGACAATCACAACTCTTAAATGTAGTTAGTACTCCTTAGCCCAGCTTTCTCTAGCCTGGGGCCCCTTCGGATGTTGAGGACCAGGCTATAGCTGGGACTGAAGCCCACAACAGCTCGAGAGCAGCAACCTTAGTCCAATACTTAGTTTCAACAGTATGGCATGCTGGTTCGCTCTTGTGCTTTTTTCCATTTATATTTTGTTTATTTATAAAAGTGATAACATAACTTATTTTTATTCTGTAAACTACGGTACACCGAGGCTAAATGTGTGGCCTAAGAAAACTTTCAGAATATGTGTATATGTAGACTCTATTCTATGGCCTAGTCTATAATTTCTTGCTTCGTTTGGTCCAATGGATATGGGTGCATATCTGCCAGGTTGGATTCAACGAAATCTGTGTTGAATATATGACACCCTAATCGTGTCATTGTCTATCTCTGTTAGGGTCTCTAGACTCAGCTGTCCTACTCTTACATATCTACATCTTTGAAAACCATGCTGTAGAAATAGCACATTTGCAACAGAGTGATTTCCACCTCCCGCCATTGCCAAAAGGTGATTCATTTCTGGAAGTAAAATTCAAGGGATTAACTCTTTTAAGTTCAGATGGTAGCACTCGTGCACCTTGCCAGTCAAAACATAGTTCCTTAGCTTGGTTATAAATCACTTCTTGGTTACAAATCGGAATCAGAAGCCAAATTCTTCAAAAACCTGAGATTGCAGTTGGATTCAGTGGCGCACATCAAGCAAACAACTACTTGTAAACAGAATTAAAAACTATTACCTTTATTTATTGACAGTATTTATAAATCACTCTTCTACATATGTTACAAGGCAGTGCACCAAATGCCACATTACGAATAGCAAATTAAACTATGTCAAACTCTAAAATTAATGGCAGAAAAGCAACAGGAAAATAATCCTAGCTGATTTTCAAATGCCTAGTGGAATAGAACACAACCTAGGTTTCCTAGATACTAAAAATTCTTCTTAGAAACGTATTTTCTGCTCATATTCTAAACAGATGGTAGCTATCTTTAAAGGAAAACCAGGCAGCAATCTTGTACCCACTTCCCTAGTTGTAAACCCAGTGAACTGAATGGGGCTTATTTCTGATTAAACATGTTATAGGGGTTGCGCTCCGAGTGTTTTAACTTGAATGTTGCACCAGTTAGAGTGGCTTGGTGTATTCGTACCACGCCAAAGTATAGAATTGTGTATGTGTGATGTTTCTTACAAAAATTGACAAGTGTACATACAAGAGACTACCAAAAGCCACGGTAGGGCTGTTTTTCAAAGCTGCCTGTTACTGGAATAGTGCACAAAAGTGTATATGCTCAGTTTGAAGTCTTGCAGGTATCCAAACCCACAAACCTTAGTACAAGCAAGTCCACCTCCACTGTATGTTGCAGATTTAAGCTTGCCAGCACATAAAATATTACAACAGTATAAAAGGAATGGTGTGAGCAATTGAATGTATCAAAATTAAATGGCCGATTAGATGAAAACAGCTTTCTTGATTTGCTGCCCTGTATTTTAGGTACTAACTTATTGATTCCTGAATGTAAGACACACAGCACAGGCAAGTATCCACACACGTGTTTTGGGGTTTAGGCTCACTGTTGGTATTGTCTCAAGGTATGCAGAGGGGTCACTCGGTTAGTGCAGGTGAGATGGGTGCAAATAAGTGTCGAGTGGCTGTTTTCCTAGAATGTACTTCCTTACCTCAGCATGTTCTGTAGTCACTCTGTATATGTTGCTAGAATTTAGATAATATGAATAACATTTTTTTAATGTATGTGTTAAAACCTTTTAATAAAATGCACAATGTGGAACTCATGATTCTTGTACAGGGAAAAAAGTAAGCAGATTCCATTTTGGGGCTTAATGTCGCTGAATATCCCAGCTGATGGAGAGTCAGTTACAGCTACATTTTGACAAGCACTTTCTGTTCGGCAAATAGAACAGTCCTGATATTATCTTGGTACTATTTGTGGACATGAGAACCTCAGTGGCAATAAGCAGGTAAGACACAACACAACAGACTTACATATTGTTCAGATGATTCAGAGCAGCCCAGTCCTATTGCTTACTTGTGCAAACAGGCTTGTTCTGTTCTACCCCATCTGCCTTGATAGCACACCGTTAAAAGAGCACTGATAATTTTTGAAAGGAGTTACCTTAGTGAACCATTCCCCCCCCCTGATTAATACTGGAACAATGGTACCAGACAGATGAGTTCTGTTAAGTACATCTTCACAGAACGCCTAATTTACACAATTCACTGCCATAAAATATAGTGGTACTTCAGGTTACAAACACCTCAGGTTACAGACTCCGCCAACCTGGAAGTAGTACCTCAGGTTAAGAACTTTACCTCAGGATGAGAACAGAAATCGTGCAGCAGCAGGAGGCCCCATTAGCTAAAGTGGTACCTCAGGTTAAGAACGGTTTCAGATTAAGAGTGGACCTTCAGAATGAATTAAGTTCATAACCACAGGTACCACTATATTCTGATAGTCACATTTTTGATAAATCTACTGAGATTAGGTCTATAGTGATGGTCACCTAAATAGAAGCCACAGGTTCAGAGGCAGTATTCCTCTAAATACCTGTTGCTAGTTAGGCAAGTCATCAACTTCTTTGGCGATCACTTGTAGCCGAGTAAGATTGTCTTCCATGAACACGGTCTTAACAATGAGTCCGTAAGTGACTGTGGAGGCCAATTCTGGACCCACACATCCTTCCGCAGTGGGGATATTGGTTTCTGGGCAGGAGTTGATCACAAACAGCATAGTGTTGGGGGGGCTGTTGTCTTCATGGAGCTTCTTGGAAGCATTTGACTGGCTACTGGGTGACACGTTACTGGGGCAGAATGGATCCAGCAGCTCTGCTCTGACACTCTTAACCACTATGCTGAGAATGATATAGCACAAGACTAAGAATGCACAGCGCATGTGGAGCTAAAGCCCCACAACTTTGCACCAAGAAAACCCAGCATGTCTCCTTCCTTGTCATGAATACTTCCTTGTCATTAAAATCCACAGAGCATTTCTTACAAGAGGGATTTAACTGCAACTTTTTTGCTTTAATTCTAACTTGACATTGCCTGGCGCTTTTTAAAATTCCCTCCTGGTGGCAGCTGGCTGTGGTGCCATTTATTGCTTTATCTCCTGAAGTGTATAAATGCCACTGCATGCTGCGAAATAAATCACTCTTTAATCTCTCAGAGGCCAGTATTTGGGAAAGCTGTATATAATTTCGGTACAGAGCTTTTCAATATGAAAGATGAACTAATGGAAATAGACATTTTAATGAGCAGATTCATGTGTAACACTACTTACACTGACAGTTTCTTCCTTTTTAAACTCTACATTTCTTGCAATGTGCTGTTCTGCCTATAACACTTTCGGGAACAGAGTCACTGCCGCAGAGGATGTGCAAGAGGCCAGGGATCCACATGGCTGTTACCTGAGAACTAGCGTGAACTTTTAACCTAGCTGTAAACATTCATCAGACCAAATGTACTGGCGCAATTCCTAGCCAAGCATTCATTATACTAAGTACTAGATGAATTCAGACAGGAACTCAGCCCATTGCTGCATGAGCCGAGACTTCACAGACTCCTTCCTTCGAATAGTACTGTTTCTAAACTTCCGCCTGTGTTCTGTGTAAACCATGGTTTGCCACTACATCCGTGCACCATCTGCAGAGTGATTTTAGCAAACCATTTGCCTTTAAACAAGGTTCCAAAATCCAAAACTGTCTTTTGGAGTCCTGGTTTAAGGGCAGATGATGGTGTGCTGAGAATCAGGAAGGAAATTTAGGTATCTCTCAATTCTGGTCTCTGGCTTGGCAGGGCACTTGTACTATTTTTATCAAGAAGAAGAAGAAGAAGAGTTTGGATTTGATATCCCGCCTTTCACTCCCTTTTAAGGAGTCTCAAAGCGGCTAACATTCTCCTTTCCCTTCCTCCCCCACAACAAACACTCTGTGAGGTGAGTGGGGCTGAGAGACTTCAGAGAAGTGTGACTGGCCCAAGGTCACCCAGCAGCTGCATGTGGAGGAGCGGAGACTCGAACCCGGTTTCCCAGATTATGAGACTACTGCTCTTAACCACTACACCACACCAGTAAAGGGAACCGTCCTATAGTCCCCTGTTGGGGTTTTTCCTGGATTTCAAGTGAGCCACTGTAAGGATACAACTTGCCAGCAGAGTCACTGCACCAGTAACCGTGTAAGCTATTCCCAGAAAAGGGTTTCTTCCTCCGCTCCATGTTACTGTTGAAAAGACCACCTGCTTTTCTCCTTTGAACTTTGAAACTGGGAAATCTGACAGGATGATGTTAAAGTTTTATTAACAGTTTGGAACATACATGAGTATTAAAAGATGCCGAAGGGTTAGGTATTGCTAACAGGATTAGATCCATGATGATTTTTTTTAGCACCTACAATGCAAAAGGCATATTTAAAAGGAATATATGTAGTTTTTCACAGTTTACTCTCCTTGTTACAATACTCATCTTCTATTCATGGGACACTACCACTATTATCAGCCTTTTCTAGTGGGGTGCTCTACAGAAGTTTTGAATTGGAACTCCCATCTGCTTCAGCAGCCATGGCCAATGGTCAGGGATAATGAGAGCTACAGTCTAAAACATCTGTAGAGTACCAGGTTGGGGAAGACTGAGCTAGACAAACAGAGATCTGCACCAGCCCACTGTATGTTTTCTCCACCCAAGTGACAAGCAGAAGCTCTCCTCAAAACTCAGCTACATTTCACGATGAACTGCATGCATTATTAGCCTGCCAGGTAGCGTTCTGGCTATTACCCTCACCGTCTACAGAAAATCTGCCAGTTATAACTCACATAGCTAAAACGTGCAGAGTATAAAACATGACACAAACCCACACAGAAAGGATACTATAGGATATTTGTAGCCCGTACGTCCCTGCTGGGAGCCCATTTGCAAACTGCCTGGTACGACTGAGGCGACGGTAAAGATTCTTGAATGTAGGAAAGGCTGATACACGCATCCAGATGATAAAGTCTTCATTTGTGTAGCCATTGTTCTCTTGGTTTGCTTCATCTAATAAATATACTGGTTTTTGCCAGTAAGGTGGTCTTGCCATGCCTGAGATAGATTGGGGGGGGGGGGAGAGAGAGAGCTATAGGTGAACCAGCTACCCCTACTTCTATACATTTCTTATAGTCTAACCTTAGTCTCACTAGTGGGTAAGCATGCCTCAGCCTTCGCCGATATGGTGCTCTCAAGATGTTTTGGATAATTGTTCTCTTCATTCTTGACCACTGGCCATGCTGGCTGTGGCAGATGGGACCTAGAGTCCAACAACACCTGGAAGGTCCAAGGTTCAGGAAGTCTGACGTAAGCAGTCAAAACAAAGGGTCTTATTCCCTAGTAAGTGAGTATTGCGTTGTAGTTTGATGCAGCCATCACAGACACACTTATGAAGGAGTATGTCCCACTGTTCAGTGGGGCATGCAGGACTGCCTTGTAAGTCAAGCAACATACCAGGAATGTAGCTTCAATAAAGTTGCTTTTCCAGTATGCATATAAGGTGGAGCAGATTTGTACCCATTGGCCCTGCTCCTGGCCTCAGTTGAAGGGGGAAATTTAACCGTGGTTAACATCAATATTGAGGCACCTCTTTAACCATGTTTAAAGTGAAGGTGCACTGCAAATGGGCACACGTTCTGGGAAGGGAAGGGCACACCATTTTGTGGTGGTGTCCCAGGTGCTCACCCATGGTGGAGAAAATCTGATGCATTGGCCTTGAGAAAAGGTAGCCGTGTTGGGTTACATTACATCAGGGATGGCGAAACCTTCCAAGGGCCACTTTTGCTCTGGGGCAACCTTCCAGGAGCCACATGCCAGTGAAGGGTGAGGCCATAGGCAAACAGGCAGAGCAACAAGTGAACGATTCACATTTCTACAGCAGTTTAGTTTCTTCTGTCCTCCCTCCAGACAAGCGAGAGGCATTTACTTGTTTGTTTAATTTAATAAAAAATATATAACACTTGATTGTGGGGGGGAAACCTCAAAGCAATGGATCAAACCTCAAAGCATGATCAAAGTTCAAAGGCACATTCCAGTCAGGTAAAAACACTTAGGTCTGAAGCAGAGCTAGTGCAAAATGTAGTCAGGAAAGATTTCCAAGGGCCACATAAGAGAGGCCTGCGGGGACAGTTTTAGAAAGCCCATTAGCTGCATTTCAAAAACAGAAGAACCACCTTTCAGCTAATGGGATAATTCTTACCATCAAATGCAGAAGACAAGTTGTGTGCAGATGGATTGTGAAATTTCACATTTTTATCTGTCCACCAGGCATTCCCTTGCTTCAGAAGTGGGACTTTGACAGCCTTTACAGAAGCAGGATAGTAGAACAGTTGTATTGTGTCTGTATGGAAATTAGAAACAGTAATTTAATGCTAAGTCAGTACTGAATGCCTGTAATTTGACTATTTTAGCTGATCTAAGAGAATATGGTCACATCCACACCATACATTTAAAGCACAACATTAAAAAACCTCCAATAGGGCCTGTGTGATGACATCCTTACATTTTTATCATATAGAGGGAAATCTTAATTTGCTGCAGTTCGAATAGATAATGAAGACTGCATATTCAGGTAAATATTATCAGATGCACGTAGCACTCACCATTGAACATGCTGTTTGCAATTGCACCACATGGAGCTATAGGTGTCCCATTTTCATAAGTTGCAAAAGGTGCACAATTGCTCTTCTGAATCTGTATTCAAAACCATAATGCAATTAGGAGCACATTTCTCTGAAAAATCAAGCCATAATGTTAAACAATGCAGCTATTCATAAACAGCAGGAAATGTGTTCTGAAAAGGACACACACGTCTTTTATCTGGGGATGAAAAATCAAGGGGGAAAGACTGTCACACCATGCCGGGGAGTGTATTTCCTAGTGTGGCTGCTAACAGTTGGCAAAGGACTCTCCCTCTTGAATGTTTACATTGCCCACCTCACTCAGCATAACATTACAAAGTCCAGACAATGAATGACAAGCACAACATTCCTGAACCAGCTAGACTTCTTTCTGATCAATAATATATTAAGAATTACTACCCGTAAAATGGCATGTGATTAAAAAAACCAAACATCAAAAGTACTAAAAGAATTTCAAACCACCTTACGTTTGCCTTCCGACCCAATAGTTGTGCATCACTTCTGGAAAGGACATAGCGACGATGGTTCTGATAAAAATTATGCAATCCATAGTACATGAAGACATCACCCTGAAATTTTTTTCAAAGGGACAACGTGTAGGAATTAAAAAATAAGTTTCGAAGCTAAACCTGGCAAACTATTGACAATAGCCAATATGAAGTGGGACAGTAATTTGAATGTCCAAGATCTAAGTGCCATCAAAAGCCCTAGAGACCTTTGATGGGCAAGAATTGGTGTGACTCCAAATCCCTAAGCCCAAGAGACAAGCCTAAATGGTTACTTTATTGGTTTGTGGAGTAAGGCTAGCAATAAATGAAAATGATATTCTCTTCCGATTACTCCACAAGGTCTTCCTCTAATGTTCATTGCTTGATGCGCTCGCGAAATCAGTCAAAAGAGCATAGACAAGCTGCTCTGATTGCCTGACATTATTTCCACAGAGGCAGTTCACATCCTCAGCTGCTGAATTCAGCATTGATTGAATAAACTGAAGGATAAGCTCCTGAGAGATGGGCAGGGATATGGGAATCAATCCCTCAGGTAGGGTGCCAGATGCAAAAAAAAAGACAGGGCTCCTGCACCTTTAACAGAAAAGGAATATTTGACAGGTGTGTGTGGCCTGCATGACAAATATCCTCTTTTTGCATCTGGTCACTACGCTAAGGGTTGTTGCCCTAGTCATTGAATGACAAGAGCTAACACACTAAAGTTGCTTAAAATTGGATAGATGCTAAAAGTACCCTAGGGTGCAACCCAGCCAACAATTGAAACACTGAGGTTCCATTGATTTTACAGTGAGAATTATGCATGTGCTTAACACACTCCCATTGAACTTACTGTATAAAAGTGTTTAACTCAGCTATACGCTCAAAAAATGTTTTAAACATTTCAAAACATTTACTTCAAAATCATTCTGGTTTCCTTAGGTACAATTTATTTTTCTTTATTCAATAACCTTGAAATATTTGTGGTTTGGTAGATTACATTTTCCTTTCCCCCTGTATGTTGTTAATTTTAATGCTGCTCTTGTGTTGCTTATTAAAAAAAACCCCAACCTATTATTCACTTTTTCACAATCACTTACCTGCATGCTTTCCTGAAGTGTGAAGTTGGTGAAACACAGGCATTCCTTCTCCCAGTTTGATGAGTTTTCACGCAGCTTTGAACAATGTGAGCATATCTCGGAATAATTAATCTGCCAAGAAATGAAAGAAACAGGACAAGTTATTGTCATCATTGCAAAAGGAGAACAAGATCTCCTAGCTTTAAAGGCTTTACAGTTCGGCCTTTGCAGATTTCCATGAGATGGTCAAATGTGACTGTTTGTCAGGTCAACTAAATGGCCTCACAGGAGCTTTCAAGTTAAGACAGCAATGACATGCCAAGACGTGTCCTGAATAACCCCTTTGGAACATCCTTCCCCCTAAAGTTCTTCAAAGTCCAAGCATCTTCCACTGGCAAATACTATTTCTATTTAGTTGCAGCCCACTTTTAATGTGTACGCAATCATGTGTTTTTAATTACATATATTCTGCAAGAGAAGCTTGCCACTTATTGTGGTTAATAGTACTTCTGACTCATTCTTCACCAGAACATCTCAGAGTAGATTACAGCATTTAAAAACACAACAGTTAAAAAACAAACAAACACAACCCTTAAAAGAGTAAAAAACACCCCTGTGGAGAACAGGCCTGGAAGCGTCTCTAATGGTACCCCAATATTGTATTTGAAATATTTATAACTCACCTTTCCACCAATGGTCTCAAAGGCAGCTGGCCTACAGATACAATTTAAACAAGACCATTGCCAGGTCTATCTGTAGTCTCTTCAGCATCTTCAGAATGCTTAACTGTTAAATAGTCTGGAGGGTCTAATGGTAGACCTGTTGGTCCAAAAGCCAGTTCAGATATTCTATCCATTCATTTACTGAAGCTGCTCACACCAGTGTAATGCCTTTAAGTCTAGCCTCAGATTACTACCTCACTCCCTGGATGTTACAATGCTCACCAATATAGACTACTTACATTATTGATTCCTTTGCTAAAGAAATAAAGAACATACTAGCCAAAGTGGGTATTGACGTCAGGTCTCTGGGAGCCAAGGTCAGTACAGTGGTGCCCCGCAAGACGAACGCCTCGCAAGACGGAAAACCCGCTAGACGAAAGGGTTTTCCGTTTTGGAGGTGCTTCGCAAAACGAATTTCCCTATGGGCTTCCTTCGCAAGACGAAAGCCCATAGGGAAATCTCCGGGACAGCGGGGAAGCGCAGCGCGTCTTCCCCACTGTCCTCGGACCTCCTCCGAAGCCTGGCGGTGGGGCGGAGAGACCTCCTCCCGCCGCCAGGCTTCAGAAGGATGCTCCGAAGCCTGGCGGCGGGAGGAGGGTTTTCCTTCCCACCGCCAACATTCAGAATGCTGTTCTGAATGTTGGCGGTGGGGAGGAAAAACCCTCCTCCCACCGCAAGCCCTGGGAACAGAGGAGAAGCGCAGCGGGCCTTCCCCTCTGTTCCCGTACCTGTCCTGAAGGCTTGCGGTGGGGAGAAAAGCCCTTCTCCGCACCGCCAGCCTGGCAAGCGGTTTCCATAGGAACACATTAATTGATTTTCAATGCATTCCTATGGGAAACCTTGCTTTGCAAGACGAAAAACTCGCAAGAAGAAAAAACTTGCGGAACAAATTAATTTCGTCTTGCAAGGCACCACTGTACTTCCACTTTTGGGATTGCACCAAAATGTTTATTTTATGGCATTAGGATTAATGAGGACATCATATACAAATGTTATGAAAATTAAACAAAACAAAATAAACACACTGTAAACTTATACACAAATACAGTCTACCAGTATTGTAATGCATGCTTTCTAGCACACAATGAAAACAAACCTTTATTTCTTTGACTCTTGTCGCAGCCAACAGAAGTACAATTCCCATCACAAGGCAGAAGAGGCTAATGATAAAGAAACTGGGGAGGACGAGCTCTGGGGTGAGCTGGGGCTTCCAGGCGGGGAGCCTCTGTTGTTTATATGCAGTATTATCAGGGCATCTCGATGGACGGTTTGGTGAAACGGTGTTCTTTTTATTCATGTTGATGCCGGACCAGTCTTTGGCTGGCCTTTGTGTCGTACCGTGAGGTATTTTTCATCTGTCTACTTAGCATTTTTAAGAACCTTGGTAACTTCCTGGAATTACTTATTAACTTGATCCATTTGATTGGGAATAACGCCCTCTTTGTACTTTATGGTCATAATCACCTTTAGCCAGCCTGTGCCATCCTCCTGCTGGTGTACTTTAACCTGACTTACATCTGCTAGCTTCCTGCACCCGCCACTGCTTCCTTCACAAGGCTGCCACCCTTTTTGCTGTTACTGTTGTACCACACAGCTTAGGACACAATTTAGTAGGGTCATCTGCATTGGTCTATTTGGAAATCCTGCACGCAGGGTGGTACATTACTCCTCAGATTTTCTGTCTGTCAAATTTATTAGCTGACTTGACTGTGTTTTTGTGATGACCAATGGTTTTCAGAATATAAATTTTACCGACTGACACAACTTAAGGCTTCTCTTTCTCCCCGCCTTCACAGATTCCAAAGCTGCATTGAAACTGAGGTAAAAGGGCAGATTTTGCTAATACCAAGTAGGGTAAGAATCAAGTGATAGACAATGGTTACACCAGGCCTGCATTTTTTCTGGGGCCAATTAAGCATCCTACTCACAAGTAGCATCCATTTTGCTTCAAGTTTCCTGGTCTACATATCTGCCATAAGAACGAGAGTTTGCTACCTGATGCTTTGAATTCACAGTGGCAGATTCCAGGTTACAACGACCTATGGTAATTATATTAGTAACACAGGGGTGTTCCCCTAAAGAAAAACAAGAGGGGTAGTTATCCCTATACATTGACAATTTATGATCACTGGCACTGATCTTTAAGGATCTTTTGGAAATACTTTAGCCATTGTTCTGCCACAGTACAGATTATCTATTGGTGGTTACTTCCTTCCAGAAAACTGAAGTGTATTGATATGCAAAGCTGCAGAAGAAAAGCTCAGGAGACATTACTATCATTATTAACAGTTATAATTTATATATTTCCTCAGGTGTTTTGTACACATGCATCATGTTAATCATTGCAACTGCTCTTTAAAGCAAGCTGGCACTATTATTTCTAAACTGCAGCCTATTAAGCTGAGATAAAGGTAAAGGTAAAGGTACCCCTGCCCGTACGGGCCAGTCTTGACAGACTCTAGGGTTGTGCGCCCATCTCACTCAAGAGGCCGGGGGCCAGCGCTGTCCGGAGACACTTCCGGGTCACGTGCCCAGCGTGACATCGCTGCTCTGGCGAGCCAGAGCCGCACACGGAAACTCCGTTTACCTTCCCGCTTAGAAAGCGGTCCCTATTTATCTACTTGCACCCGGGGGTGCTTTCGAACTGCTAGGTTGGCAGGCGCTGGGACCGAGCAACGGGAGCTCACCCCGCCGCAGGGATTCGAACCGCCGACCTTTCGATCGGCAAGCCCTAGGCGCTGAGACTTTTACCCACAGCGCCATCCGCGTCCCTAAGCTGAGATAAGTACACCCAAACTGGCCTGGAGGCTCATTCAAGGATTCCTAGTGAGCTTGTTGCTGAAATGAGATTCCCCATGACACAGTCTCTTACCCACTAGCTTATACTTTTGAGTAAATCTTTTGAGTTAACAGTTACTTTATGTGCTGGTGGAAAAATCTGTGTTGACTTTCGATTTCATATCATTATACGTGAACATTTCAGTAGAGGACTCCATACAAAAGCTGGCTTTATTGCAAAAGAATTAAGGGTGACAAAAGGGTTTCTACTATATGCATTTCAGAATGAAAAAGCAGCCTCAACTTGGGCAGACTGAAGGATGAGTTGAATTCAAGGGCAAACATCATATCTAAAGAGTCCCACTTTCACAGAGCCCCCTCTGCACAGTTTGATCAGTCCCATTTCCAGAAGTTCAATGGTTTCTTTCCTTATCTGAAGAAAAAATAAAAAAATTAGACGATTAAGGTTACCAAGGCCGGCGCTTCCATGAGGAAGAACTTTGCCTCAGGAGGCTAATCTGCCCATTCCTTCCCACCCCGGCAGTTGTCAGCCCCACTGCAGCTTCACCTGTGCCACCACTGCAGCACCACCACTGTCCTCACCGCAAAAGCCACGCCCCCACTGCTGCCACTGCATCATGGTGACAGTGCAAGTGCAGCTGCAGATTTAGGGTACAATTGCAGTGGCTGGGCCAGTGACAATCTGGGCACAATGGTGTTGTCAGGGAGAGGGCCAGGATCTGTGGTGGGGCAGTAGGGCATTTTGCCTACAGTGGCAAAAATGTTCTGGGCCGCCCTTGAAGGCCCCCATGCAAATATTTATTGTGCTGTCTCTCTCACGAACTCACACACTCCAGCCAGCTGATACCTTATCCTTCTCTTATTTTTAATAGTGGCACAACACTCCCCTCATTAAACATGTACTTATGAAACACCATTGGTTAAGGAACATGCCTGCAAAACTTGCAGCTTGTTGCGTGCCCTTGGCAATTAACAGTTCCTTCTGCGTTAGGAGTTTGTCAGATCCACCGCTCAAGTCAGCCTGGGCAACACTGTCTGCATGTGGGAGGCTAAGCAGACTAGTAAAAATTAAAAAATCTTGAGCTTGTCTGCAGGGAAGTGTTAACCTATACCTGTTTGAAAGGTCATTGGGGTAACTGACAGTAAATGATGTTTCAATTACAAGCATTTTGGCTGGAAAGCAAATTCAATAAAACTCACGTTTTATGTATGCATATTAGTCATTTTGCCAGCTGCATCAGCTGCTACTGTAATAATTTCACATTGAAAAATGCCACAAGGGGGCACCTTCTTGCTTCAGTTTTGGAAATTCATTGCAATCTCTATAGTAGTTGACTTTTCTGAACATTGAGAAAACCAACGGGCTTACTATATTGTGACATTTTCAACAGCTTGGTAAAACAAGGCTTAAGAGTGGAAAGGTCAAACGCAACACACTTAGTGCAAAAGATGCCCTGGCCACATTCACACATAACAATTATCCTTGGGTTAATCAACCATACTGTGCATGGATTGTATGCTAGTGCATTGAACCTGATTGTTTCTGCTTCATTCTTCACTTCACATAAGCAAGTAAAGAAACCAGGAAGGGAAAAGCTGAGTGCTACTTCTAAATCCAAGATTTTGGCTTTTTTAAAAATAATAACAATAATTGAACAGGAATTACAAGTGAACAACATTTAAGGAGGGCTAGCAATCCTGGGTTATTAGGGTCAAATACACCACATCCCCAGATATTCAGACATAGCACAAAGCTTCCCTTTTCCTGGTTTGTTAACCAGCTTGTGGAAAGTGTGATAGAATGGATTCGCTGCACCAGAGGGCATCTCATGCATCCTATGGTTCTTGGTGTATCATTACTGCAAATGCTGCTTCCATGTATTAAAGGGCATTTTCTGACCGAGGATGTAGCTATGTGCCTGCTGGTTTGATAGCATATACAGTAGTGCCCCGCAAGACGAACGCCTCGCAAGACAAAAAACTCGCTAGACGAAAGGTTTTTTCGTCCGCGATTTGCCTCGCAAGACGAATTCCCCTATGGGCTTGCTTCGCAAAACGAAGCTTGCCCCGGGGACAGCGGGTCTTCTCTTTTGAAGCAAGGGGCTGCGGGGAGATAGCGATCTCCCTGCAGCCCCTTGCTGCAAAAGACGTCCGGGGGAAGCGGGGAAGCGAAGCGCTTCGCTTCCCGCTTCCCCCGGACCTCTTCTGAAGCAAGGGGCTGGGGGGAGATAGCGATCTCCCTGCAGCCCTTGCTGCAAAGACGTCGGGGGAAGCGGGGAAGCGAAGCGCTTCGCTTCCCCGCTTCCCCGGACCTCTTCTGAAGCAAGGGGATGGGGGGAGATAGCGATCTCCCTGCAGCCCCTTGCTGCAAAAAGACGTCGGGGGGAAGCGGGGAAGCGAAGCACTTCGCTTCCCCGCTTCCCCCGGACCTCTTCTGAAGCAAGGGGCTGGGGGGAGATAGCGATCTCCCTGCAGCCCCTTGCTGCAAAGACATCGGGGGGAAGCGGGGAAGCGAAGCGCTTCGCTTCCCCGCTTCCCCCGGACTCTTCTGAAGCAAGGGGGATGGGGGGAGATAGCGATCTCCCTTGCAGCCCCTTGCTGCAAAAGACGTCGGGGGAAGCGGGGAAGCGAAGCGCTTCGCTTCCCCGCTTCCCCGGACTCTTCTGAAGCAAGGGGATGGGGGGAGATAGCGATCTCCCTGCAGCCCCTTGCTGCAAAAGACGTCGGGGGAAGCGGGGGAAGCGAAGCACTTCGCTTCCCCGCTTCCCCCGGACCTCTTCTGAAAGCAAGGGGATGGGGGGAGATAGCGATCTCCCTGCAGCCCCTTGCTGCAAAAGACGTCGGGGGGAAGCGGGGAAGCGAAGCGCTTCGCTTCCCGCTTCCCCCGGACCTCTTCTGAAGCAAGGGGATGGGGGGAGATAGCGATCTCCCTGCAGCCCCTTGCTGCAAAAGACGTCGGGGGAAGCGGGAAGCGAAGCGCTTCGCTTCCCTGCTTCCCCCTGACGTCTTTTGCAGCTGTTCCGAAGTGGGGCGGGGGGCGGGGTCACCTGCCCCAGCCGCCCCACTTCGGAAAGCTGTTCCGAAGCGGGGAGGGGGGGCGGGGACATCTGCCCCAGCCGCCCCACTTCGGAAAGCTGTTCCAGGAACAGCTCCATAGGAACCTCCATAGGCGCCCGTCACCTCTCCAGCCAGGAGAGCGCGCGCGGGGCTAAACCAGCCCCCCGCGACCCTCTCCCAGCTGGAGAAGTGACGCGCGCCTATGGCAGGAGCCTCCATAGGCGCCCGTCACCTCTCCAGCCGGGAGAGCGCGCGCGGGCTAAACCAGCCCCCCGCGACCCTCTCCCAGCTGGAGAAGTGACGCGCGCCTATGGCAGGAGCCTCCATAGGCGCCCGTCACCTCTCCAGCCAGGAGAGCGCGCGCGGGGCTAAACCAGCCCCCGCGACCCTCTCCCAGCTGGAGTTGTGACGCGCGCATATGGCAGGAACCTCCATAGGCGCCCGTCACCTCTCCAGCCGGGAGAGCGCGCGCGGGGCTAAAGAAACCATAGCCCCGCGACCCTCTCCCAGCTGGAGAAGTGACGCGTGACTAATGGCAGCAGCCTCTGAAGGATGCACCGAAGCCTGGCGTGGGGGGGGGCGGAGAGACCTTCTCCCGCGCCAGCCTTCGGATGGCTGTCCTGAAAACTTGGGGTGGGAGAGGGTTTTCCTTCCCACCGCCAACATTCAGAATGCTGTTCTGAATGTTGGCGGTGGGAGGAAAAACCCTCCTCCCACCGCAAGCCCTGGGAACAGAGGAGAAGCGCAGCGGGCCTTCCCCTCTGTTCCCGTACCTGTCCTGAAGGCTTGCGGTGGGGAGAAAAGCCCTTCTCCGCACCGCCAGCCTGGCAAGCGGTTTCCATAGGAACACATTAATTGATTTTCAATGCATTCCTATGGGAAACCTTGCTTTGCAAGACGAAAAACTCGCAAGAAGAAAAAACTTGCGGAACAAATTAATTTCGTCTTGCAAGGCACCACTGTACTTCCCACTTTTGGGATTGCACCAAATGTTTATTTTATGGCATTAGGATTAATGAGGACATCATATACAAATGTTATGAAAATTAAACAAAACAAAATAAACACACTGTAAACTTATACACAAATACAGTCTACCAGTATTGTAATGCATGCTTTCTAGCACACAATGAAAACAAACCTTTATTTCTTTGACTCTTGTCGCAGCCAACAGAAGTACAATTCCCATCACAAGGCAGAAGAGGCTAATGATAAAGAAACTGGGGAGGACGAGCTCTGGGGTGAGCTGGGGCTTCCAGGCTGGGAGCCTCTGTTGTTTATATGCAGTATTATCAGGGCATCTCGATGGACGGTTTGGTGAAACGGTGTTCTTTTTATTCATGTTGATGCCGGACCAGTCTTTGGCTGGCCTTTGTGTCGTACCGTGAGGTATTTTTCATCTGTCTACTTAGCATTTTTAAGAACCTTGGTAACTTCCTGGAATTACTTATTAACTTGATCCATTTGATTGGGAATAACGCCCTCTTTGTACTTTATGGTCATAATCACCTTTAGCCAGCCTGTGCCATCCTCCTGCTGGTGTACTTTAACCTGACTTACATCTGCTAGCTTCCTGCACCCGCCACTGCTTCCTTCACAAGGCTGCCACCCTTTTTGCTGTTACTGTTGTACCACACAGCTTAGGACACAATTTAGTAGGGTCATCTGCATTGGTCTATTTGGAAATCCTGCACGTAGGGTGGTACATTACTCCTCAGATTTTCTGTCTGTCAAATTTATTAGCTGACTTGACTGTGTTTTTGTGATGACCAATGGTTTTCAGAATATAAATTTTACCGACTGACACAACTTAAGGCTTCTCTTTCTCCCCGCCTTCACAGATTCCAAAGCTGCATTGAAACTGAGGTAAAAGGGCAGATTTTGCTAATACCAAGTAGGGTAAGAATCAAGTGATAGACAATGGTTACACCAGGCCTGCATTTTTTCTGGGGCCAATTAAGCATCCTACTCACAAGTAGCATCCATTTTGCTTCAAGTTTCCTGGTCTACATATCTGCCATAAGAACGAGAGTTTGCTACCTGATGCTTTGAATTCACAGTGGCAGATTCCAGGTTACAACGACCTATGGTAATTATATTAGTAACACAGGGGTGTTCCCCTAAAGAAAAACAAGAGGGGTAGTTATCCCTATACATTGACAATTTATGATCACTGGCACTGATCTTTAAGGATCTTTTGGAAATACTTTAGCCATTGTTCTGCCACAGTACAGATTATCTATTGGTGGTTACTTCCTTCCAGAAAACTGAAGTGTATTGATATGCAAAGCTGCAGAAGAAAAGCTCAGGAGACATTACTATCATTATTAACAGTTATAATTTATATATTTCCTCAGGTGTTTTGTACACATGCATCATGTTAATCATTGCAACTGCTCTTTAAAGCAAGCTGGCACTATTATTTCTAAACTGCAGCCTATTAAGCTGAGATAAAGGTAAAGGTAAAGGTACCCCTGCCCGTACGGGCCAGTCTTGACAGACTCTAGGGTTGTGCGCCCATCTCACTCAAGAGGCCGGGGGCCAGCGCTGTCCGGAGACACTTCCGGGTCACGTGCCCAGCGTGACATCGCTGCTCTGGTGAGCCAGAGCCGCACATGGAAACTCCGTTTACCTTCCCGCTTAGAAAGCGGTCCCTATTTATCTACTTGCACCCGGGGGTGCTTTCGAACTGCTAGGTTGGCAGGCGCTGGGACCGAGCAACGGGAGCTCACCCCGCCGCAGGGATTCGAACCGCCGACCTTTCGATCGGCAAGCCCTAGGCGCTGAGACTTTTACCCACAGCGCCATCCGCGTCCCTAAGCTGAGATAAGTACACCCAAACTGGCCTGGAGGCTCATTCAAGGATTCCTAGTGAGCTTGTTGCTGAAATGAGATTCCCCATGACACAGTCTCTTACCCACTAGCTTATACTTTTGAGTAAATCTTTTGAGTTAACAGTTACTTTATGTGCTGGTGGAAAAATCTGTGTTGACTTTCGATTTCATATCATTATACGTGAACATTTCAGTAGAGGACTCCATACAAAAGCTGGCTTTATTGCAAAAGAATTAAGGGTGACAAAAGGGTTTCTACTATATGCATTTCAGAATGAAAAAGCAGCCTCAACTTGGGCAGACTGAAGGATGAGTTGAATTCAGGGGCAAACATCATATCTAAAAGAGTCCCACTTTCACAGAGCCCCCTCTGCACAGTTTGATCAGTCCCATTTCCAGAAGTTCAATGGTTTCTTTCCTTATCTGAAGAAAAAATAAAAAAATTAGACGATTAAGGTTACCAAGGCCGGCGCTTCCATGAGGAAGAACTTTGCCTCAGGAGGCTAATCTGCCCATTCCTTCCCACCCCGGCAGTTGTCAGCCCCACTGCAGCTTCACCTGTGCCACCACTGCAGCACCACCACTGTCCTCACCGCAAAAGCCACGCCCCCACTGCTGCCACTGCATCATGGTGACAGTGCAAGTGCAGCTGCAGATTTAGGGTACAATTGCAGTGGCTGGGCCAGTGACAATCTGGGCACAATGGTGTTGTCAGGGAGAGGGCCAGGATCTGTGGTGGGGCAGTAGGGCATTTTGCCTACAGTGGCAAAATGTTCTGGGCCGCCCTTGAAGGCCCCCATGCAAATATTTATTGTGCTGTCTCTCTCACGAACTCACACACTCCAGCCAGCTGATACCTTATCCTTCTCTTATTTTTAATAGTGGCACAACACTCCCCTCATTAAACATGTACTTATGAAGCACCATTGGTTAAGGAACATGCCTGCAAACTTGCAGCTTGTTGCGTGCCCTTGGCAATTAACAGTTCCTTCTGCGTTAGGAGTTTGTCAGATCCACCGCTCAAGTCAGCCTGGGCAACACTGTCTGCATGTGGGAGGCTAAGCAGACTAGTAAAAATTAAAAAATCTTGAGCTTGTCTGCAGGGAAGTGTTAACCTATACCTGTTTGAAAGGTCATTGGGGTAACTGACAGTAAATGATGTTTCAATTACAAGCATTTTGGCTGGAAAGCAAATTCAATAAAACTCACGTTTTATGTATGCATATTAGTCATTTTGCCAGCTGCATCAGCTGCTACTGTAATAATTTCACATTGAAAAATGCCACAAGGGGGCACCTTCTTGCTTCAGTTTTGGAAATTCATTGCAATCTCTATAGTAGTTGACTTTTCTGAACATTGAGAAAACCAACGGGCTTACTATATTGTGACATTTTCAACAGCTTGGTAAAACAAGGCTTAAGAGTGGAAAGGTCAAACGCAACACACTTAGTGCAAAAGATGCCCTGGCCACATTCACACATAACAATTATCCTTGGGTTAATCAACCATACTGTGCATGGATTGTATGCTAGTGCATTGAACCTGATTGTTTCTGCTTCATTCTTCACTTCACATAAGCAAGTAAAGAAACCAGGAAGGGAAAAGCTGAGTGCTACTTCTAAATCCAAGATTTTGGCTTTTTTAAAAATAATAACAATAATTGAACAGGAATTACAAGTGAACAACATTTAAGGAGGGCTAGCAATCCTGGGTTATTAGGGTCAAATACACCACATCCCCAGATATTCAGACATAGCACAAAGCTTCCCTTTTCCTGGTTTGTTAACCAGCTTGTGGAAAGTGTGATAGAATGGATTCGCTGCACCAGAGGGCATCTCATGCATCCTATGGTTCTTGGTGTATCATTACTGCAAATGCTGCTTCCATGTATTAAAGGGCATTTTCTGACCGAGGATGTAGCTATGTGCCTGCTGGTTTGATAGCATATACAGAACAGTGTTTGCCATAAATTACAAGGTATAGCAATCAGCACAGTTCACACACATCCCAACCCTAAACATACCCAAGGGATTAATACCAAGTCAAGTATGCATTGGACTGTTTTGGTGTGATATAATCGTACTCTAACCAAGACAATCTTTAATTTTGGTTTCAGCGGTACAGGAGAAAATAGGTATAAATCATGTGATGCTTGTATATACATCTATGCAGTTGCATGTCACAGTTTTGTACAGTATTTTGTACTTTTCAACTGTACTTTTCTTTTTAAAATTTCAACTGTAATAAAGGGGGAAAGTATGCTTGGTAGTACAGCCTTAAAAGTACATTTTTCCCCCACTAAGCTACCAGATTATGATCAAAAATTCAGTTTATAGGATCAGATGACCTGCCCTATTATGGAATTGTGTTTTTTCAACAGAAGGTAAGTGTAAATGTTAGATATCAAATTGCTTCGTCCTCCTTAGGTAGAGGGCAGGAGTTAACAAAGTACGTATGTGAAATCTGCTAGAAGAATTTTTGTTCTGTTCTCTCTAACAGGTTGTTGTTGTTGTTGTTAGACACTCTATTTGAAAATCCTACGGTCTGGAACTTTTTGAAAGCAGCAGGAGTACTCGCTTATGCTGCTGCTTTCCTACATAGCTTATTTGAAAGGAGGTGTCAGAGAAATCAGTGGAACTTGACTTTAATGAAAATGAATGTAGGCTTGAGGTGTTAAAGAGAATCACAGCAGGAAAGGTAGGAGCCTGAAGAGAGAGGCAGCCCAAGACATTACTGCATATACTTCCTCTCCTGCTTCAGTTAGACAGAGCCCTTCAGCACCACAGCACCATGTAAAGACTAGCTGACCCATGTAGTGACAAGCCCATGTTCCTCACATAATGTGTGCAATGGCCCAGCATGTATCTCTTAAGCCTCGGATCAGAAAACTAAAATTATGGTGTGTGTTTGTGTAAAAAGTCCCTTTCCCGCTTGCATTTCTAGAATGCGAAATAGAAGAATGCAAGACACCACACAGGCTTTTACTTGTTAAATATTATTGCTTGGTACCTCAGGGATGTCAATTAATCTTCTTAACTTCTGATCTCTCCAATTCCAGTCCAAGATGACATACTTCAAGGATGTCATGCTAAGACCATCTGAGGAGATAGTAAGAGACATTTGTTAGTAGCGTGATAAGTGCATTATCAAAATGATACTGGGCTTTTAAAATTCTTTGCTGCCCAATCAATCGCCAGGCAGCTAGTCTTTGCATATTGAGTCCTGCCCTTCTTGGTTAGCAGATTATAAAGAAATATCCCTGCAAGTTTCTGGCTATGAAATCAGTCCTGTGCCTATTCAATAAGCTAAACACAAAAGCAGAACGGCCACTGGCATGCTAATCCCAAGTATGTGCCAGCAACTAATTCCCCAAACTTCTACTTCATAAAAATGCAAGAACTGTGCTTTTATTACGCTGATGATTTATTATTTATAAACTACTTTTCTGTTCAAATTCCCAAAGCGGTGTGTCATAAGCAGCATTATGAAAATGATGTAATGCTGGCTCTTGCTCAACCATTGTTAAGAGACTGGGTAGAAGCCACAGGGTTGCACACTCCAGCCCCTCCATTGTGCAAATTCCTGCTTTAAACTGCAGAAAAGGTGAGCACGAGCAACAATGGTACCCCCTTCTATAACACAAACCTTCCCGTACACACAGAGATCAACTCTGGAGACCCTCCTCTGAAGCTGGGGGAGCAGATGACAAGTGAAAAGGCCTTTTTGGTGACAACCCCATTTGTGGAATGGTCTTCCCAGGAAAGCTCAAAACTGATGCCTTTATAGCACAGGCAAAGAGCTCCATCGCACTCTGACTATGCTAAGCGCACTATGTAGGTGTAAGCTATTCCCTTCCCAGTTTGCTTACCCACTTGTACAAAGGGATGAGTGAAGGGGAAGTGACTGGGCTGTGTGCATCTGTATGCAGCTCGTGCATAACCATTGTTTATTAAGCACAGATTCTTGGCTTATTGTGGCACGCAAACATGGCCTGCCACAGATGATCAAATATACAGACTCATGAAACCATTCTTAGGGATGGGGGAACTCTCTGTTTTCATTACTGCAATACAGCCTTACCTTGCTCTAAGAGGGCTTTGATCCTTCCAGGTGTCCCAACCCCCACATGGATGACCCCTTTCTCCAGCATCTTCACCTGCTCTTGGATCTGTTTGATGGAAACAAAGAAAAAGGTAGCATTTGCAGGAGGCAGGGGAGAGAACAACTATATACATTTCCAGTTCCTTCTCAAATATTTAAAAGACGTCTGAAGAAATCTCTAGACTAACGGACGTTCGGCATTACTCCATGGAAAAGAAAAGGAAGCTAAGTGGGAAACCTTTCAAGGGGAAAAGGAAAGCAACTAAACCCCACTAACTATAAACAGTGTTTGTTTTCTTTTAATGTGCTATTCAATGCTTCCATCTTTTTCCATAATGGACGTTTTTCCATCACCACCTACAAACAACTGAAAAATCAGTGTGCTTCTGTGGAACTAAGAAATGTACATCTGTATGAAGTTAACATGCATAATGTACTTGACTTTATAAAGTTAGCACCAGATTGAATTTGCAGTAACTTGTCTAGGACTAAGCAGGGGAAATATACTTGCTGGACACAGTTAGCACATGAAGGCAACTACACTCTGTATCTAGACATTTTGATGAAGGAATTGTTACATCCCTTCTCTGCCATACCACTTGGTTTCTGTGCTAGATGAAGGAGGAAAGGCTTTTCCTCCAGGAGCAGCATAAAAAAGAAGGCTAGCAAAGGGAGCTAGAGTGATCTTTCCCTCTTCCTCTTCCTTCCCTGCATGGTAGAAGCCTTTCTCTTTTGTACTATCCCAAGAGGCTAGTATCCCCTGTTTGCTGATCTCTTAGCAGGCTAGTAATTGGTGGGGTGGTGGTGGTTAGAAGAGCTTTGAGACACCCAAAGGGCAAGTGAACAGAAAATAGTTATTAAAAATAAACTCATCTCTCTTAATCGTGCTTACCTTTATGTGTTTTGCAAACATCTTCATCACCTTGCCATCTCCTTTGAATGCTGCCATTGACCTAGAACAGAAAATACTTTTAAAAAAGAAAAATGGAACTGAAAAGAAAATGAGGGCAGGAACTGATGTATTTCAAGTACAAAAAGAATGAATGCACCAGGGGAAAGTTTATTAAATTGTAATGATACTCAGTGTTTCCAGCCCTGGGGAATACATGCTGAACTCCAGCCTACAACATGAGACACATGTTCTCTCTCTCTCTGTCTTGGGGAGGCTGGAGAAATTATGGCTCTCCAGAAGTTGTTGGACTCCAACTCCCATCAGCCCCTGCCAGCGAGACCAATAGACAGGGATGGTGGGAACTGAGAGTCCAGCAGTGTCTGAAATGCCACAAGTTCCCCACCTCTGTTCTAGGTGGTAGCAGTCTTGTAACTTCACTAATGGTGTCAGACTACTTGGCCTAGGGACATGATTTCTGCTTGAAGAATGGTAATGCCCAGGATTCAAATCCGGACAAACTTATGCAATAAGGGAGAAGGATTTACCTTTTACTAAAAAATATGGGGAGAGGGACCATAGCTCAGTGGTAGAGCTATGGTAAAGCAATGCTTTGTTTGCAGAAGGCCCCATATTTAATATCTTTATCTACAAATACAAGTAGCTTCATCTCAAGTAGCAAGTAATGTAAAAGAACTCTCTCTGTGTGAGACTTTTAAGAGCTGCTGCCAATCAGAGCATCTAATATTGGGATATATGAACAAATATTCTAAACTAGTATAGGTTCCAGCTTTCATGAAAAATTGGAAAATTCAGAAAGTGTACCTTATGTGGCGGCGGACACACACACCAAAAAAAACCCCATCTGCTGTAATTTATTCTGTACACACCTATTAAAATGACCTCTGTCCTCCTTGGTAGTTTATCACTCTTCCCCTTCTCTTTAATAAAACCACATATATAAAACCAAACCAACCAAGGAAGGAGTGGAAGTGGTACTGGTGCAATACATTTGTAGCATCCCAATGCATTTGATGGAGACTAATCTTTTTAATGCTTCCCAGAACTAACAAGACACCATGTGCAACAAGTTAAGATGCTTTTAAAAAATGCAAAAAAAAAAAAATGGACTTGAAATATTCTTGTGAGAGCTAGGCAAGGAAGCTACCAGTGTAGGGAAGCTGCCTGAGCAAGTACATCTGTGACTTCGTAGGCTAGCAGAGGACAGACAGTGCCCGGGTTTTGCCTGTGATTCCGTGGTTTCAGACAAAACCTCAGAAAAGGGTGCCAGCTTCTATTACATCGCTTAACGACATACTTGATGAGTTCCAGACAGCGAAGAGCGGAGCTGCAGATTATCATCATCACCACCGACTTCTTCTCCGTGTGGTTTTTACGGAGCTTCGCCCATTTGGGGCAAACTGCAGTGGGGAAGACGACATGCCGCAGGAGCAGTTATGCAAAATGTACAGCAATGACTAATTGCACGAGAACATGGTGCTTACGTGCCTACTGGCAGGCAGGCAAACTTTTAAGTTGTTTGACTTTTGTAAAAGCCACATTGTAATAAATAAATTTCCAAAGCTAATCACTCCAGGCAGGTAGGTGAGCGTCAAACAGCATGGCCAAGCAAGGCCACTGAAAATGTCAAGAGACACTGGACAAGCTGTCCCATCTCCCAAATGACCATAGCATAATATTGTTTTGCTCTCTTTATCTCTCTGTGTGTACGTGTGTATAAAATAAACACTACAGATTAAGTTCCACCTTACTCTGCATATTAAAAAAACCAACACATAAAGCTAAATATAATAAATATTATAGAACTAAATATTGCACCAGTTTTATGACCACAATATATATCATTGTATATTATCCAAGTATTTTTTGTTTTTGTGATTTGTATGTATACTCCATTTCTCTATAAATCCATCTGGCACAAGGGCTTCCTTAGATATTTTCAAGTATGAAAGCTTGGTTTTAAAACCCTTCCAAAGACTTCATACCAGTTCAGAATCTGGAGAGAAATGTGATGATTTCTAGCACAAACCTGTTGATAATTGGACTGCAGTGAGTAAAATGTGTATGTATTATTGGCTTTTTAATCATCAAAATTTTTATTGTCAACCACCACCAAGTACCTGAAACAAGCAAGTTTGTTGCTGAACATTAAGAAAATAACCATTTCTGTTGTAAATCAATAAAGGACCAAAACAAACATAATCTAACCACGTTAAGGTAATGCATCTATACAGAAAACAGACAGTAGAATAAGAAACATTTTTATTTAGATTAATAATGGAAATCTAAATTTGATTATAATCCTTTAAGGAAAAGAATGGGCATGAGAGTTATATGCACACAACATCTTCAGACCAATGAGCTACTCACTTTCTTTCAGGTAGGAAGAAAAACTGTGGGTGAGGTCATTTGCAGGGAGGAAACAGGCATCTGAAACCGCAAGAGAATATTGTTGCTTGGTGCTAAAACTAAGACCTTCGATTAAATCTTCCAGGAAAGCTCTTTTGCCAAAAGCCATGTAAAGTGCTCTTTGGAGAGGCAGAGTTTCACAAGCACTCACAGCTAATAACAAGAAGCTTTAAAGCGGATTAGCCAAATGATGGGAACAACATTTAGCCCAACCAGTGCTTTCCCCCCAGAAAAATAGGTACTGGCACTGTGTATCCTTGAGTACCCCTTGAAAAAAAAGCACTGAGCCCAGCCCAGATTCCTTCTAAAATCATCTCGCCATACAGCCCACTCCTAATTTATCCATAAACATAGCTTTGCTTAACCAGCTGTGCATGCTGCGGAATGTTTGCAGCTTTCTCCTTCAAGAGCTGAATCATTAACCAATACCACAAAACTGCACAGTTCAACTATACAGAACAGTTCCTGCAACCCACACCAAACCCTGGCTCAGCCTAGAACAGCAAATCCTATACTTTCTGTGTCTCCAGCAGCTAGGGGCTTACAAAGCGATACACGAAATCCTGCTGCTTACACAAGTATGTTATTGCTGACTTTTGTTAGCAGCTAGAGATCCAAAACAACTCCCCCGCTCTATAATACACAGTTCCATTTCTTTCAATGCATTTTATTTTATTTAGGTATTTGTCTTTAGGAATTTACACTCAGCCATGCTTCCAGGGCACTTTACATAAAAAGAGATTATTAAACCATTGTTAAAGGTGAGGTGCCTGGCAGATAATCACTTAAACCTTGGTTTATGATGTCACAGGATAGCACCAATGAGAGTAGCAGACACTTGAGATTGGTTTGAATATTCTGTTGCTCTTCACTTGTGGCTCCGTAGCTTTTGGGTGGTGATCACTCCTTAACCATAGTTAAGGAGGTGCTCTGGGTTTGCATATCAAACTAAAGTATAGTAAATGTTAGCAAAGGTTTACCAAGAACAAACCTTGGTTAATGACTGACCTTTAACTATATTTAATAAATCATAGTTACATTGCTCGGCTGGGATCAGAATTAAATGTTGCAGCACAGTTTAGCATGAACGAACCAGGCCACAGTTGTGTTACAAACTAACATTCCTATTGTTCTTTCTGCTGGTGCATCTTTTATAATATCCTTCATTGTATAATATATTTCATTACCTGACAACTGTAATTCTTCTAATTCAATCACTGAACGTTTAGCACAAAAATGTTCCTTAAGAAGTTTCTGTAGGTCTTCAGGTACTCCTGGTTTTGGAGATGATTTTGAAAGAACATCAGAAATTTTCTTCTAAAGAAACAGAAGAAGAGGCACATTCAGCACAGCGATTCCATCTTCAGCACTCTTGCTGATAAATACACTGTTTTCTATTCTTTTTCTAGCCTGAAAACAATAGGTCTTCAAAAACCTTATATGTGGGACATCTTATGTAGCCTACATGGATTAAGACACCAGGATTCAGTCTAGAATACTTTAGATGGATATGGCAAAAGCTATCTAAAAGCTGTTGCTTTTTTAGCACTTTTAAACATCTTTAACATCTTTGGTCATGCATATAGCTTCTGCAGTGGCCTGAAGAATGTGGAGTCACATCAAATGGGAGGCTTTTATCCATATTTCGCTCAACCATCCCCCAAATCTCTGCTCAGCTGTTCATCAAGTTCCTATGGGATTTTCCCAAACAAGCATTAAAAAAATCTCCAAGCAGAAAGGTATAGCTGAACTGTTGTGCCTTCAAGACCATAGCACCATCCATGCTTGCATTTTCTAATTCAACAAATTAATATTTTCCTTTAAGGGCAGAGATTGTCTCCTGGGCAATTTTCAGAGTGATCTTTTGCATTTGTTTAACATAGCATACATAAGCAGATAAGAATCTGACAAAGATCAATGGGACTCACTTCACTTAAAGCCGGGAGGTGGGGGGGAAGAGCACTATTTCATGTCGCTATTACATCATTCATTGAGTCACTCAATTCCTTCAGGAAAATAATGGTACTCTGGAGGGTGATGCTGATATTAACAAGAAATTCCATAACGGTAAGAACAAGGACACCTGAATATATTCCCTTCCTTCAAAGAGCTGTGGGAGGAAACGTTCTTCACGCAGGAAGTTTTATTATTTTGCTTCTAATTCATTCCAGATGCTAAAGAGCAAAAGGCTTTGTAAAAAGAAAGAATTGGGGGTGGGGACACAGAGACGTTTGCTGTTATTTCCTTACAGCTTGTTCATTCTGGGATTCAATGCTATAATGCTACAAATATTGCTCTGGAAAGCACCAAAAATGAGGTGTGATGTCAGTCTCCAAAACAAAACAAAAAAATTCCAATGGAACATTTTTTTAACATGGATATTACATCCTTGCAGGTGAGCTTGTGAATATATATTCAGGTATGACAACTGCACCCAGTGCCTGCTTAAGACAGCCTGGATAGCTCAGGATAGAGTGGTTAGAGTGTGGTGCTGATTATGCCAAGGTTGCAGGTTCAATCCCCATATGGGACAGCTGCATATTCCCGCATTGCAATGGGTTGGACTAGATCAGGGGTCGGCAAACTAAGGCCCGGGGGCTGGATGCCTCTGGGCAGGTGGCGACGCTGGCGCGGCTTCGGATTGGCCGCAGGAAGCTCCCGCAGCCAATCCGAAGCTGCAGACACCTCTGGGTGACGCTCCTCCCTTCCTTCCTGCTGAGGCGGCCGCATATGGCCAAGAGCCAAGCAGGAGGAAGTGGCGACGGCAGGGAGGCTGCCTCCGCCGCCCAGGCCAGCAGCACGGGCTCTGCGCCCCACGAACCACTGGCCGAGGCAGAGGACAACGATGATGCTGCCAAAGACAAGACGGCGTTGGCGGCTGCAGCATGAGTGGCAGCGGTGGGGTCCTTTTGGGAGGGGGTGGGTCCGGCCCCCCACAAGGTCTGAGGGACTGTGGACCGGCCCCCTGCTGAAAAAGTTTGCTGACCCCTGGACTAGCTAATCCTCAGGGTCCCTTCCAACTCTACAATTCTATGAAAGAACCTAAGAAGAGCTCTGTTGGATCAGATAGAAGGCCTAGTTATTCTGGCATCCTGTTTCTCACAGTAGCCAACAAAGTGCCTGTAGAAAGATATTGTTTACTTTGGAATAAGTGTGTCCTATTATGTCTGCTGCATTCGTTTAATCACTGCAAGCCATCATTTAGTGGTGCACTGGCATCACTAGTTCTGATATCTCTGTCAGACCTTATAGCTGCCTTTTCAAACACGCTGTTTCTTGTTTTGTCAGAGGTTACAAAGCCCAACACAGAATGAGAAATATATGTCAAAATATAAAGCAAGAGAGTCAAATCAGGTTCACAATTGGCAGCAACACGCTCTACAGAAAGAGTAGTGCTAAGACAGCTTTAAAAAGGAATTTAGCCAATTTCACAGAGGCAACGTCTATCAACGCTGCTACGGTATGATAAAACGCTGCAGAGTGGAGTACTCCAATTCAGGTTTCTAACCAGCCACACAAGTCTTTTCCAGGACACTCAACTTCATTCCCCTGGTTTTCTGCTTCTGCCCTGCTCCAGTACTCTCTAGCCCCTGAGCATGCCCAGTCCTTATTCAGATATTTTGGCAAAGTATTTCCCCCCTCTTAATTCTGCAAACCTTGGGGTGTTCTTAAGTCAGTTGGTACCTCTTGTGTGTGGTTGGTGCTGTTTTGCTATACAAGGATCCAGGCTTGGAGAACTGAGCTCCCTGTCAGTATATCAGCAAAATCGGCACTACTAAAGGTGTTCTGCATTTGCAAGAACTCGATCATTTAGCATGGCAGCACCTACACTTTGGAACTACCTGCCTGTTGAGATCAAGCAGGCATTCTTGTTCAGACAAGCCGATCCAGATGCTTAGAAAGTTGTTGTAATTTTAATCTGTTTTAGAATATTTACTTCTGTATGCTTTAATGCAGGGTTGCAAACTTTTCTTGATTTTCTTGTTTTACCTTTTGGTAAACTGCCATGCCCCAGTGTCTATGTATTCAATGAAATGCATGGAAATGCCTTCTGCACATGTCACTGTATATGTGTAAGGCTTCTCCACATGGTCAGAAACTCCGGGGTATTCAAGATTCTGCGTCAGAGGTGTACATACTAGTCCCCTTTTACACATGCTGCCAAACAAATGGACACCAGGGTGCAGCCACTGTCTTCAGTGAGAATAGAAAGCGCAGTCCTGTTTGCCCCTGCAAGTGCACAGTGTTTGGGTGGAGTATGCCGCTCTTATGATCACCCCAATTATTCACAACTGAAATGAGGATTTTTAAAATTGTGAATTATCTGGAGAAATCGCACATATGGAGCACCCAGACAATTTATAGATCTTCTTCTTCTTTAAGCTTTCTGGATTTTGTGTGCTTGTTTTTAATGTGGATCTGGTCTGCAGAGCTGGCGACCCACTCAGCTGAACACAACCTGCCACCTATTTCATGTGGCTTCCCAGGTGCCTGACACTTCCTGGGGGTTTTTTGGATTCCCAGGCCAGGTAGGTAACACAAACAGGAAGCTTATTTTATCCCATGTGGACTTCCAGACATGGTTGGCAGGCTGAGTTTAGCTTGGTAGGTCACAAGTGGTGTGTGCCTAGTGTAGCACTTTGACAAGCGCCTCCTGATACAGCATTTGGATATCTTGCATCCGCCTGTTGAATCAAGGGTAAAGATACTACATCCGTGTTGGTATGTGCAAAAATTAATAGAGCTTTAAAATAATGTATAAGTGAAAAGAGTAATAGCAGAACTTAAAAGCCTGATGCTAAATCAACTCAGCTTTTTTGAGGGAATACAATCTTATATCTGAGAAGTTGGGAGTTTTTGGCAACTGAGCACACCCATATATCAACTCAGAAAGGACAAGATCCTCATGTTTTACCTTCTCAATGGGAGTATGTTGGATTTATAACCTGCAGACAGTTATCCCTAGTGGTTTGAACAAGAGATTTGATTTATTAGCATTTTTGTAACAAGTTTAATGTTGCAATGTCTGTTTTCACTTCAAATATATTTCATGGCTATTCATGTTGTTTTTAAAACCAAACCTTACATGATACAAATAAGGCATGTCCCTTCACTGTACTCTTCTTGTATTCATTTTTGTTTAGACAAACCTACCCAGATATCACTTGCTTTAATTTTTAAAAAATGTTTAAAATTGTTGTATTGAACTGTTTTTACCAATAATTTTACTGTTTTAATGTGGACTGACAGTTTGAATTGGAGGTTGCCACAATGGGAGAAACAGGAGGCTCCTGAAATGTAATGCTTTGAACCCCTTTTATCACAGGATTGGGTTGTGTATACATGTAAATAAACCATATATCCGAAAGACACCATAGTCTCTGTTGTGCCTCATTGTACTAAAGGAAACAGAGACCCTGGGGTAAGCGCCTGGAACCCCTGGAACTGCTGTGCAGATTGGGGTGATATGCAAAAAATACTTCCCTACACTGAATTACTCAGTTGTATATTGAACAGGGATTTAGCTCAAATATATTAGTGGAGTAAGATAAAACAAGGATGGAGTTTTCATGAATCAAATTATTTTCAGTGACTGAAAAATAACCTTCAGAACTAAAAAGGTAAGGTGTGGGGATAAACTTTAAAGCTTTTAAAAAGTCATTTGTTTTGTGTTGTCTCACAACAATTCTGAAGCATTTTATAATAGCCTCCAGAGAAGCATTTATGCTGCTATGTTGCAATGTCAGTTAGGAGTCAGTACCTTTCTTCTTCTCTTTGGCTTTGCTTCACTTTCGTTTTTATCGGCAGAGTCCTCTTTTTCTGCACCGAGGAAACATTCTGTAGCCTGCGGGTGGGGAAGGTGGGCAGAGAAAGAAAGAAAGGAGGAAAAGAAGCTGAGCATTTGGGCTGAGTTACATCATCATTAAAAACACTTTAGAAACACAACTGAGCCGGTGTGTGGGAATTAAGCACATGTCTCGGCTGCCAGGATCAGCCAAAAACGAAAAGATTCTGGATCATGCTCGATCTGTCCAAATCAGCATGGCCGTGGAAGAAATCAAAAGCATACTGCAGCAAGAGATAAGCGGGAACTAACAACAGGAATAGGGCAGGTTTACCATTTAACAAACAAATAACTACTGGCTTCATGTTACATAATGAATGAACTCTATCCATTCTAGATATGGAATTTACAGCTGGTTAACTGCATGCTCTAAACACAACAGAAAATTGGCATTAATTATATAGAGTGAACAAGAAAAATGCACTCAGAAAGTGATTGTTGCTGCACTGTTTGCGAACGACCTTTTCTCAATGTATAATCATGTCCTGTGCCTTAGAAAACATCACATGACTGGAGTTTTTTGTGTGGGGGTGTACATTTAAAGGAACATATTGAAAATCTGTTTCTGCACCCTGCCAGTTTAAGAGTATCTGACTCTACCCTTCACAATTTTCACCTAATTTGAGGCCAAGAAGGGTCACAATGATTAGAAGCGATCTGCAATGGAATAAAGCAATTTATCTGACCCACAGCAGCAATATTGAGAAGTGATGTGTATATGATTATAGGGAACCAATAATTTGTTGGCAGAGCCCTCCTCACCTGGCCTGCACTTCCAGGGGAAAAGGCCAGAGGTGTGTTTGAAGCATGCACTGTTAGGCCTTGCTGCCTGAAGGTGATGTGTCTTCCAGAAGCAGCACAGAATGTTCCACCCAGCCATCTTTTCCAAGGGAAAGGCTACATGGGACAAGCATGCCCTGTTAGGTGCCACTTCCCGCTGGTGCTCCAAGTGCCTTCAAGCACTGGCAGCCAATGACAACCCTGTCTGCTTTTCTTCTTCCAGAGGAAGAGGCCTTCCTCCCAACATTGGGACTGGTGGAGAATGGCTATAAAACTCCTTGGACAATCCTTTATTGTTTAGCCGTGTCCGACTCTTCATGACCCCATGGACCAGAGCACACCAGGCACTTCTGTCTTCCACTGCCTCCCGCAGTTTGGTCAGACTCATGCTGGTAGCTTTGAGAACACTGTCCAACCATCTCGTCCTCTGTCGTCCCCTTCTCCTTGTGCCCTCCATCTTTCCCAACATCGGGGTCTTTTCCAGGGAGTCTTCTCTTCTCATGAGGTGGCCAAAGTGTTGGCGTCTCAGCTTCAGGATCTGTCCTTCCAGGGAGCACTCAGGGCTGATTCCCTTCAGAATGGAGAGGTTTGATCTTCTTGCAGTCCATGGGACTCTCAAGAGTCTCCCCCAACATCATAATTCAAAAGCATCAATTCTTCGGCGATCAGCCTTCTTTATGGTCCAGCTTTATGGAAAATCCTACCCACCCTTATAGCTTTGAGGTTTGGAGTGCTCATTACACTCATCAGAGGACAGTGCCACATTCAGCACTGTGGGAGTATTTGCCGAAATCTAACTTTTCGCAACAGCACATGCAAAGTTCCCGGAAGAACGGGTTTTCAGACTGGTCTTCAAAGCAACATTTATTTTAAAATCTATTCCCCTCGCCTTCCAGACATTGAGATGTCACCAACACAGAAATATAGTGTTCTAAAAGAAAGCTTTGATGCAGAAAATCAGCTTGAACAGGCTGAAACAGCAGTATATACTAAAATGTAACAAATTAATTTTAAAAGGTAGTCAGGTTTTCTTTAAAAAAATGTTTTTATTGCTTTTAGCCAAAGGCCTTTGCAAAACAGGCAGTCAGCATACAAGATGTCTGGCAGTATGTCTTGGTAAATTCCACACCTGTTACCTTTTGGTAGGGATATGTTTGTCCCCATTTGCCCACTCAAAAATTATTTTGGATTTTTCAAGTGCTCCAATTTAAAATGCAAAAGACTTTAAGAGGTCTTTGAAGTTTTTGACAAGATGCTTCAGAGTCTACACTGCTTTTTTCTAGTGCTGTAACTCTAAAGAAGCTTTCACAACCTAGTGCCCTATGGATGTTTTGAACTACAATTCCCATTGGCAGCAGACAGCATAACTGTGGACATTTGCACACTGTGGTCACTAAACTGGTGATAGATAAAATGCTGAACCAACCAAGTACCAACTAGTAAAGTTGCTATAGACCCAGAAACTCAAGTATTTGGATTCTACCCAACAAGCAGCACAGAAATTCCACTGCCTACTTTTCATTATGCATCATCTTTCTCTGCATGATAGTCGTGAGAATAAAACCAACCAACCTGTTTTCTTTTCTTTGAAGTAGGTGGCATAGGGGTTGTATGTTGCTGCTCTGTTTTACTTGTGCCAGCACATTCTTCCGAAGAGGCATCAGGTGACAGACCTAAAGGCAAAAGTAAATTTAAAAAACATATCCACTCTTCTGCATTCTGATCAAATGACATTGATGCAATTATTTCCTCCAATAGTAAACTTGGGGGCTTGAGTGCCTATCAGTTTGGATGTGCAATGCCTCCTCCACTGGCCAAAAAGAAAAGAAAAATCTAGTGGCTTTTACATATTCTTGGGGCATTATGGTTGAGGGGAAACATTTCATTCCCTGCACTGCACAAGGAGGCGGGTTGGGAGATGGAAGGAATACCAGTTTATCAGATTCCAGAGGAACACTCAACATGATCCAGAGGTTCAAAATTCACTTGCAATGCAGCATTCACTATGCACTGGAATATATTTGTATTGCTCTATCCAGGTAGCCATATGCTGAGTCAACTGCTTCCCAAGATACCCTCTGCATACTGTAACCTAGAGACTTTGTACTGTCTACAGCTTGCCAAGAAAATCTGACAGCTAACTTTAACATTTCTTTATAAATCCTGACTTGGCATGTTCAGAAAGCGGAGAGGGAGGTGCCCCCAAAGCAGAGTCATAAATAGCCTCTTCTCCTGTATCTGCTTGTAGATTGCTCATTATAGAACTCTAAAAGTAGACAAATGGCTTCCAGGATACAACTTTGCAAACAATGCACCACCTGTTAACTGCCCATCTTTACTTTGGAACTGGATTGCAGTATGCAATACCCTCCAACTTTTTTTCAGCTTGGAATGACACAAGTTCAGCATCTTGCTGGGATAGCTCAGTTGGCAGAGCATGAGACTCTTAATCTCAAAATCGTGGGTTCAAGCCCCACATTGGGCAAAATATTCCTGCATTGCAGGGGGCTGGACTAGATGACTCCCATGGCCCCTTCCAATTCTACAATTCTATGGTTTAATTACATGAATCTGAGAAAGACACCCATAGCAATATATTAAATGCTCCCTGCTCCTGTGCAAACTTTCCACAGTTCAAATGCAATAAACTGTTACTTAATCTGGAAGAAATATCAGGATTGAATTCTGGTTTTGGAAGGTATTATTTACAGTTTAAATGGCTAAAAATTGCTATATACTGTACAGACTTAAAACAACAACAACAACAACCCAGGCCTCTGGGCTTAACATCTAACTGACATGACCAAAAAAAGGAAAAAGGGAGAGGAAAACTCTCTCAGGTACCAATTATTAAAGCTACATCAGTAGTTCTCATAAGAGTCAGCAAGACTAAGGGAGTCCAGGAAGGGAAGGAGAGAAAGGGCAGCTTTTTTTCAGGTAAGGGGAAAAAGTAGGTCTTGCTGTCTCATCTCGCCTGCTGCAGCCAGGCAAAAAGGTGATATTCCGTTTCTATTTGTTCTTTGTTCCACCATGAAATTCATACTGGCATATAAACGGCTCAGGACGGCCATATCTCAAGGACTGCCTCTTTCCATATGAACCTACCCAGACCGAGAGATTATTTTCTGAGGCCCTTCTTCGTGTGCCTCCTCCACAAAAGGTCTGGAGGGTGGCAACACGAGAACAGGCCCTTTCTACAGTGGCTCCCCATCTGGCGAATGCTCTCCCCCGGGAAGTTCACCTGGCGCCTTCATTATACACCTTTAGGTGCCAGGCAAAAACGTTCCTTTTTAACCAGACCTTTGGTTGATTTGATTGACATCCAATGCACCTTTAAAATGAGTGTGTGCGGGGGGGGGGGGGGAGTTATTGGGTTGTTGTTTTTATTTTGATTATGGATTTTGTGGTTTTATATCCTGATTTTATTCTGTGAACCGCCCTGAGACCTGTGGGTATAGGGTGGTATAATAATAATAATAATAATAATAATAATAATAATAATAATAATGTTCCAGATTGTCTTTCACTCCAAGCTGTGGCTGGACCTAGGTCTGCCTAGCTTCAGCAAAGTTGCTGCACTATTTGAATACTTGGGAACAGCTGAAATCGCAGAGGTTCAGAGAGTAATTAAGTCTGCATTCCATTTTAAGACTCACAGAAACTGCAGACTTTGGGGCTCCAACACCAAGCCCAGCTTTTTCACCCTCCTGATCCCAGGTTTTGTTTAATATCCAGCCTTATGGAGAAGTTAAAAGCTTACTCATTGTTTCCTGACATTATGGTTGGTCTTAATAAACCTTTTTGGTTTTTGGATTCCACCTCCCCCACTCCCAAAGGATCAATACAGCAATCTATGTCTTTTGTCTGCTTTAAATAGAGGTTAACATACTTACCCTTCATACTTTTTTCATCAAAAACATTTACAGTCATACCTCATGCTACATTTGCTTCATGTTACGTTCTTTCAGGTTACGTTCACCCGGTGCTATACCAGCTGCACTGGCTCCCGGTGGAGTACAAGGCCAGGTTTAAGGTGCTGGTTTTAACCTTTAAAGCCCCATACGGCCTAGGACCCTCATAACTACGGGACCGCCTCTCCTGGTATGTCCCACAGAGGCGCTTACGGTCTTCAAATAAAAACATCCTGAAGGTCCCAGGCCTCAGAGAGGTTAGGCTGGCCTCAACTAGAGCCAGGGCTTTTTCAGCTGTGGCTCCGATCTGGTGGAACACTCTTGTCACAAGAGACCAGGGCCCTGCGGGACTTGACATCTTTCCGCAGGGCCTGCAAGACAGAGCTGTTCCACCAGGCCTTTGGCCAGGGCACAGCCTGACTCCCCCCTTCGGCAATCTCCACAGCATTTTAGCTTAATGGTTGCCAACAATTCGATTTTAATTAATTTTTATAATGAAATGTTTTTAGAATCTTGTACTATTTTATTGTTGTTAGCCGCCCTGAACCCGGCTTCGGCTGGGGAGGGCGGGATATAAATAAATATTATGATGATGATGATGTTCCGCGGCGACCTGGCAGTACCGGAAAGGGTTACTTCCAGGTTTTGCAGCTCACGCATGCGCGGAAGCGCAAAATGATGTCACGCACATGCACAGAAGTGCCGAATCGCAACTCGTGCATGCGCAGACGCGCCGCTGCGGGTTGCGCTCTTTTCATGTTGCGAATGGGCCTCTGGAACGGATCCCTTTCACAACCAGAGGTACCACTGTATATCCCACTTTTCCTCAACAAGACCAAGGTGGCTAACAACGTAAGTTAAAGCAATAATGTAACAATTTTAAACACAATGTCATGGCTATAAATAAAACGAAGCAGCCATAATATACTGAAACAGCAATACAAAAACACTACAGCCATAAAAAATAATTTAGTTTAACTAAATTCACTTCAAAAAGAGGACAGCCATTTATGATCCCCAAACCCTTCTTAAAAAGGAAGGTTTTGACCATCTTACAGAAAGCCATTAGAGAGGGGGAGAGGCAGGTGGCAGAGCCTGAATACAGCTACAAAAAAAGCCTGTTTCCTAGTCCCAACTAGATATATTTATGGGGTATTTGGGATACACAAGAAGGCTTCTGACAAGCAGTCCCTCCTATCTACAAGCATGTGTGATACTCTTGCTCAGCTTCTAAATTATTTGAGAAATTGTAAGCTGAGGTTAGGGAGAAACTCATCAGTGCCCATGGTTGAGAACAGTAAATCAAAGCATCTGCATAATCCAGGACCTGCAAACCACATGGTTACATTACTCATACTTCTTCTCTGAAGGTTGTACTTTAGATGCCTCTCAACTCCTACTTTACAGAGAACAGTTCTCAGCTTGAAGGTATTCTCCTTTTGGAGGGCTGCCTAGCCCAAGTCCAGTTTAGAGATTAAGAACCATAGGAAGGGAGTGTGCCGACCTTGAAGTCGCCCACCAACAGTTGTACCACTGAACAGCAGACTCAGCAAGCACACAGTTCATCAGGTCATGGTCTTCCATATCATGATGAGAGGCATTTCTATATAAAGCAGCTTCCTGCAAATTGGTGTCCTCCAGATGTTTGGGGCTCCAGCTCTCATCAGTCTCAACCAGCACGGTCAAGGATAAGGAGAGCTGTAGCCCAAAATATTGGGAGGACACCAGCTTGGTAGAGGCCAGTTTAAATTATAGTAATTATTTCTAGACCAGCACCTATACATATAAATTAGCATATGCAAATGTTTGCAAGCCTGTGTGCTCTCTCTGTGTGATGCCTTTCCTCCTCTTTTTTTGGCAATGACTAAGCAACCACCCTGGGACGCGGGGGGCGCTGTGAGTTAAATCACAGAGCCTAGGGCTTGCTGATCAGAAGGTCGGTGGTTCAAATCCCCACAACAGGGTGAGCTCCCGTTGCTCGGTCCCTGCTCCTGCCAACCTAGCAGTTCGAAAGCACGTCAAAGTGCAAGTAGATAAATAGGTACCACTTCAGCGGGAAGGTAAATGGCATTTCCGTGTGCTGCTCTGGTTCGCCAGAAGCGGCTTAGTCATGCTGGCCACATGACCCGGAAGCTGTACACCGGCTCCCTCGTTCAGTAAAGCGAGATGAGCGCCGCAACCCCAGAGTCGTCCACGACTGGACCTAATGGTCAGGGGTCCCTTTACCTTTACCTTTAGGCAACCACCCTAGGAATGGTTTCTTATCAAGCAGGGTAGTTTCCCATGCTCTCAAGCTACATACAGGGGCAGCATTAATATAAACTGTAGCACAGTCAAACTAGCTTCTTGTTTTGACTAAAAGGGGAAATGCTATGGGCTTCTCCACTGGGAAGTTTCCCCTTTCTTCCAGGCCTTAATAAAGCAGAAGGGGGGGGGAAATACTGGAAGCTGTCATTCCTCTGAGAATACCCCTTTAAAAAAATATGCACACAGACAGAAATTAAGCAGGATGCGGTTGCGATAGAGATAGCGTCCATACCTGGCTTGCTGCAAGCAGATGTCTGCTACTTGCATTATGTCCTATCTCCTCTGCAAAGAATGACAAGAGGAGAGGTCAGCTTTCCAACAAGGTCAGTATTTGGAGAGCGAAGCATGGAAAGTGGGTTGCGTTATATTTAGAGTTTGGTCTAAATCAGTGCCAGTGTTGGCCCCCTCCCATCTCTTCTTTGCAGTGCTGTCTCTCAGGTCCCTGGATTGTACACTGCTGGATCTAAACCTACCCAATACAAAGGGAGGGGAACTGTTCCAAAGCTTCCAAAAAGAGCAAACTGTGTGGCTTTTTGAAATGAGTGCTCTGGGTGCTCAGAAGATAAAGCTCAAGTAGAATTTCACTTCTGTAAATAGACATTTTTATTTGCTGACCTGGATTTGTCCTTTGTGAAGGGGCAGAAAAAAGGAAATTAGCCAGGAAGCTGCCTTCTCAAATATGGTAAGGTTTTCTATTCTAATGTCATTTTAGAGAAATTGTTGTGTGGATGTTCAGTGTAACAAATTGTACTATATTTGTCTTTAGTGTGAGGTTTCCAAATATAAATGATAACAATTCTGCTTTGGATGTAATCTTGTTTATTTGGTTAGAGATATTACAGGTTTCCTATCCTATTGTGTAAATAACACAAAATAATTATGTGCCAAAGTTCATCCCTGTCTATAAACTTTCACTGACTGGCAGGAAAAATATTAATAGAAATGGAAATATTACGTCACTAGAATCCTCGGGTAGAGGAAATAAAGTGCATGTCTGTGCATATAGATTATATCTTATTACTTTTTAACAGGTATAGCTTTTTACCTACAACATCTGTTTCATGGAAGGTAGCAATAGATCTGAAGCAAATAATACCACCAGAGGTGTATTAGGTTGTGAGATGTGTGGCATCTGCTACTTCAACCTTTCCCCTTCTGCCCCAGACCTCACTACCTCAACCTGACCAGTGATTCCTAAGATAATGTCCACTCTGTAATACATTCCCAACTAAACAATGCTAGAGACTGCAGTTCTATGAAGTGGCTAATATCTCTAAAAAGGAAAAAAAACCCAAAGCCTTTGCAGCTCTTTATGGAAGGCTTACGGCTGAATCAGTTTAAAACAGAGTTTAGTTTTCTGGTGCTGATGTGTCTCAAAGAATCCACTATTTTGGAATTTCACAGCTTTCCATTATGATTGTCACTGCTGTTGATTCTTTAATTACTTGGCTCACCTGGAGCCCAATATTTGCTCTGAAAGGACAAGGGCAATGCAATGGCACACTTGCACACCAGAGAGTCTTTCCTTTCTTCAGCTGGGTTTGAACTGCTTCAAGGGCCACGAGCAACAGTTCAGGCATCATTTGTTACCATTGTGGCAGTTCCCACAGAAAACTGTTAAGATGGAGAAACGAAACAGCTGGTATTTAAAGGTCAATGAGTTGCTTAGCACCCAGTCTTCATCCTGTCCAAGGCAAATGAGAATTCAGCAGTGAAACTTCAATTCCAGAATAACAGTTTGATTCAATGCATGAGAGAAGGGTTCCTATAAGGGGATTTCTTCCATGATGCCTCATCATTGGAATATCTTAGGCAAACTACAAAATTACAGTGGACCCCCTTGCCACCCCACCCTCAGATAAGGTGAGACATATTTTAAAAGAGAGTTCATTTCTCATATGTATGATTGATGCTATGCCTTACTTCTTCCACAACAAAATGAGCAAAGTAAATACTCAAAATGCCGTGGTGTGACATCTTGGTATTTAATGGGCATACTGAACTTATTATTGAAGTTTACTAAGTGGGAATACAGTTTAAAAGATTGTCAAGTATAATCCACTGGTTTACAAATTCTAATCCATTGGTTATATGGATCTTAGCCATTGTAATAAAGCCAGTAATCTTGTATAATAAGGCAACCTTCTTTCCATTTGTGGATCATGAGTCAATTTCTTGTGAACGTCTCCTGAATGCTAGCATTACTGCAAAAATGAATGAATGAATGAGGAAGAGGCCCTTGGCGAGATCTTGTATGGCACTTGTAATGCTGTTTAGCAGCATCGCTGAATAAACCTTAACCAGTAGCAGTGTGTGTAGCGAGCTGGAGTTGCCCTCCAGAAACAAGCATCACTGCTGCTTACTTGGACAGGGCTGAGAGTGGTCAAGGCAGCAACAAGACTGGGACTCTGCAGGTGCATCCTAAGAAGCACCAAGTTGGTCGGGGCATTCTCAGTGCTGTATTAGCACAGCCTCAACCTCCCCATCATTCTGCCCCACCTGAGCCCTGTCCAGGTAAGAAGCAACATGCTTGTGGGGGGAGGGTGGCTCTTTCCCACCACACATGCTGCTTGCTGGCCTTAACTATTATCCTGAGTATGCTTTGCAAATTTAAAAATACATTGGTGGACAATAGGGATCATAGAACCTTAGAATTTGGAAGAGACCATAATCCCCTGCAATGCAATAATCTTTTGCCCAACATGGGATTAAGAGATTCATGCTCTTCTGACTGAGCTATTTTAAAACTATGTAAATCTCATGTTGGTTCTTCTCCAATCTATCTTGCATGAAACATTAACTACAGAATTCATCTAGCATGCAGGATAGCCTGCAAGGTGCGCTATGACCAAGTCCCACAATGCCATCAATGGCTACACGTCCTGGATAGGAAGTTTCTCCAGGTGACTGAGTAGTGACAGGACTGGAGCCAAAACAGGCCCACTGAAGAGCAAAAGGGAGAATTGGCAGCCATAGTTTAAGTAAAGAAGGGATGGAAAGAAGTGAGAGAGAAATGGTGGTTTTAAACAATGGCAGGGGTTTGAATAAAGTACCTTCACTGCATGATGGTACTATGGAATATGTGAGAGCTCTAATTCTTCATCTCTCACTTCCGTAAGGCAGCAGAATAGGGAGAGGTCTGAGCCCAGTGCAAAGGGAGGAACACTGAAAGGAAAAAAGTGGCTGTTTTAAACAATGCTAGGAGTGGGGTGGGGCAGTTCAGAACAATACTGAGTGTAGCAAGAAGGCTTTAGGTGTCTGTTTCTGCATTGTACCCATCTCTGCTATTTCTCCTGTTTCTTCTCTGGTTAAAACATTTCCCCTTAAAATCCCCCCAAACAAGCCCTTAGTGGCTTCAGAAATGGGGTTGTAAAGGTGAAAAGTGAGCTTAGTAGTTGCGCTGGGTAGCAGAAAGGGGGAGTTCTAGGGTTCTTGGAGAGTTCTTGGGGAGTTTGGAAGCAAGAGTGAGCAGCCCCTAGATTTAAAATAAAAAGGATTCTGGGTTTTATTTTTAGAGGAAGGGTAGACACACAGTAATTCATGTGAAGCACATCCATGACACACTGTCAAATTCCAGGTTCCTTTCCGCTTCTAAGCCACCTGCTACAAAATTCATTTCCAAAATAGCTTACACTAGTCTATAAAGGTACAAAAACTGATACTTGCGCAAATCATGCCAAACAAATTTAGGTTGTTCTTCCTTTGCTATTTCTGATGCTTACATTTTATTAAAGTTCTAAAGCAGGTGTACAACCAGTGCTTAAAGCAAAAATGCTGGATGGTTGTTCTAATCCTAACTCCCTCTAATAGCAAACTCAGCTGGGTTGTAGGTAAAATGAGGTCACTGAGAAACAAGAGGGAGATGGCAGCATATTTGGGGGGACCCCAAAGTTTGTACAATTTTTTTAAAAGCAGCAACATGGGGGCAACACCTCCTGCAGTCCCACAAGCACTCAGCATGGTATGCAGACATGGAATTTTATATGGCTGTTGGGAAAGAAAGAAAAATGGGCCATGGGGGAAGTGGGATGCTGTGGCTGGAACCCTGAACAGGAGCACCCATGTTGGAGGAGGGGGGTATGTTGCAATAATATGTTGTAGGTCCCACTTGCTCCCTGCAATAGGGAACTCAGGTTGGTTGAGTGCCTATGTTTGGAAGCAGAGCAGGAGGTCGCCCAAAAATAGTGAAGTGGATTCTGCATCCTTGAGTCTAACCTCTTTATCACTGAGCCCAATCCTAGTGTAAACTCTCTCACTTGCTCAACTGTCTGTAACTTTAGCTGCCCAATTTCAAGTGTGGTAGATGCAAAACATGCACTGTACTATGGTCATGGTCAAACACAGCCGCCAGTCTTACTGATAAATGACAGGAGTAAATCTGCAATACAGAGCACTAAGAGGCTCAGAGCTACGTTGGAAAGAGTGGTACATTTGCTTCAGTAGTGACCGACTCTAGGGTTATGGCGCTTATCTCGCTTTATTGGCTGAGGGAGCCGGCGTACAGCTTCCAGGTCATGTGGCCAGCATGACTAAGCCGCTTCTGGCGAACCAGAGCAGCGCACGGAAACGCAGTTTACCTTCCCGCCGGAGCGGTACCTATTTATCTACTTGCACTTTGACATGCTTTCAAACTGCTAGGTTGGCAGGAGCAGGGACCGAGCAACAGGAGCTCACCCCGTCATGGGGATTCAAACCGCTGACCTTCTGATCGGCAAGTCCTAGGCTCTGTGGTTTAACCCACAGTGCCACCTGCGGCTCAGAGCTACGTTGGAAAGAGTGGTACATTTCCTTCAGTGGTAGCTGATGTCAAAAAATATTTTCAAGGGAGATAACTGGAGAATAAATGGCTACTGTCTTTCCAAGCTGGCCCCTCCAAGAGGAACTGCAGCTTGAATGTGACAAGAGTCTGGAATGTCTCTCTAATTTCTCCACATGTTAAAAAAGATTGCGGATTTAAATAGAGAAGTGCGAAGGCCTAGAAAAGCAACAGCAGAAATGACAGAACTTTGCTGAAGTGCCCTTTCTAAGAACAGTGTATTTCTGGGCTCCTGCACCTGCCGGAGAAGGACAACTCAGGCAGCACTGAGCTATATTTGTATATTTCATTCAGAGTTTCCTTGAAGAATTATTTTTAAACAGCTTCTCAAGTAAGGAGAAGGGTTTCGTTGCATAAGGCAGCCATAAAACAGATAAAATCCAAATCTCTGTGAGTGCAAAGATTAACAACATGTAGTTATTGTATATATTGTATGTAATACATAGCAGCAATTATTATTATTATTATTATTATTATTATTATTATTATTAGCCCCACCATCATTATACTCTGAGCAGTTTATGTATAGTTGGTAAAAAGTGAGCTGTAGGGGTTTGTTTTGTTTCTTTTATAACTTAGGAATGAATGCCCTAGTTGTGATGTCGCACAACTGAGTGGCGGAGAGGCGATCTGACAGGAAAAGGCTCTACTCTGATTCGTAAATGCTATTTCGCAGGATTGCATCCTTTATCATCACTACCTCTAATTGCAAATGCAGCCAGTGAGTGCCAACAAGGTTATAACCAGCAGGAGCCCAGTGGGAAACAAGAGGGAAGTATCAGCAAGTTCAAGGAAACCCAAAACTTTTGCAAAAATACAAATATATTGAGGGTGAGAAAATCAGAGGGGGCAACCACCCTGAAAAC